CTGCTGCAGTAAGGAATTAAAGTCTACCAGGTTAAACAGAGAGTTTTGCAATGAACTCTTCTCTGTACTGTTTGGGGGGTTGGTGAGTGACTTCTCATGATGGCTCCTCATGCCGCCTACCTGGCCTTTTGTTTTTCAGTGAGAATCTCTGGAGCAGATTTACTGACAAGGTCAGATAAAGCCATTTCAGTTGCCTAGGAGAGAGATTTATGACAGAAAGGAGAGCAGCTACCTGATGCATTGATTTATCCATCCTCTGAGAGAAGGACCTCAGGGACACAGATTTGTGACAATTACATGGTATTGATTCTGGAACACATTTAAATCATCCCAGACCCAGAATGAGTTTTGACACCAGATAACCCTGCTGGGGAAGGCCAAGGGAGTACTTATTTTATTTTGGTGTGTGTGTGTGTGTGTGTGTGTGTGTGTGTGTGTGAGAGAGAGAGAGAGAGAGAGAGAGAGAGAGAGAGAGAGAGAGAGAGAGAAAGACAGAGAGATTAGACTCTGAGGTTTTAATGGTTTTGTAGCTAGAGAATCAAAGAATACTAGATTTCTGTCCTGCAAGGACCCTGAAGGAAATGATGCATGAGGAGAAATGAACAAAAAGAGTGGTACAGCACTGTGCTGTTAGCTAACTATTATCACCTGAACCAGCAAAAAGAATACATATCCAAAGCCCTCAGCCCTCAGCCTCTTTCCTCTAAAGTCTTGTGTCTGAGGAGTCTAAGGGTGACTACTGGGGGAAGAGAGTGTGCAGACATATTGGAATGAGTTTTGACACGTGGCTGCCATGTCCACACATGCAAGGGAGGCCTTTCATGGCGTGGATTAAGCAAGGATGGGAGGAGAAGGGACGGGGCAGAAGTCCCCATTCATAATCTTATCCCCACCCTACAAATTTTAGAGATAGGTCTTCCTTATGTGACAGCCAACCATGTTGGTTGCCGGTGCCCCGCAGGGAACCAGACCCCAGGAGTGATAAGAACTCATAACATTAACTCACTCTGCCTACAGGTTGCCCTGGAAACCAAGTCATGACTGCTGGTTGCCAAGATGACAAAAACTTGGTGCTAAGGGTGGATTCTAGGATCCCCTCAGGGTCCTAGGGTCCTAGGTATTATCGTACTAGGATCCCCACCAAGCTAGCGAAAAAGGTGGATGAAGCCCTTTCCTTGCAATGACAGACTATAATGCAGGGGCTCCAATAAGGAGTGCTGCTCTGCCACCCACCTGCTCCCCAGACCCAGGCTCACCTCTCACTTTGTGGCTATATAAATAAGTATGTTTTGGAGAATTCTTGTAAGATTCAGAAATCATGGCTGCAATAGGCCTAACAGTACACAATAGTCCCTCATTTTGGTTATGTATTGCTGTATAACAGTGATTTGAAACAGTTATAATTTATTAATTCTGATAATTTTAGGGGTCAGAAATTTGGGGAGATCTCAACTAGTGGTGGTTTTGTTCAATTGGGCATCAGCGAGGGATACTACTCAACCACATTCAGCTAGTATCTGAGCCTAAAACAAGAGGGCTTCACTCGCGTGAGTGGTGCCTTGGACTCTTCCCCCCTGGCTTCTACACATGGTCTCTCCAATGCTAGGGTTTGTCACAGCATGGTAGTCAAATCCTTCCATGCCAGCTGGATTACCCCCAAATTTACTAGGTCTGCTTAAAGGCAAGACCTGGAATGGTCACAGTGTTACTTCTGCTGTTGTCTGTTGGCTAAAGCTGGTCAGAGGGGAGGGAGGCAGACTCTACTTCTATTGGTCATGACACACACATCTGCCTTATCTTTGCATTGAGGGGGCCTAAAATTATGGCTACTTTCCTGAAAAGGAAAAAGGGAAATACAGGGAGAGCAGACACAAATGTAGAACCAAGTAGGGAGTTGAGGGCACTGGGGGAACTTCAAAGACAGTCATTCTCCATTCCTTCCCATCCCAGTAGAGCCTGCTCTATTGACACTAGAGAAAGTGATAGCTGGTCACCAGTGGGAGAGCTTGGTGACAGTTGTGACCTATGAATTAATATTCCCTCTTTCCACACTATCCCAGAGCAGGTGTAACATCAGTTGTCAGTTACCCAGAGTTCTGTGAGCAGTGGTCTTGCTGGCCAGGGTGCCCAGCGAACTTAGGGCTCATTTTGAACTACGTGTTTCCACTCACAGTAACTGAGGCAGGCTGGCTAGGAAAAGGTGATCACAGTATGTTGAGCCATGGGTTTGGGGATAGAGATGCAAAGCATGAGATTCGTGATGTGAACCGCAATACTGAGTGTAGTGAAGGGTGAGGGCACAGAAGAGAGAAAAGCCGGCAGCTTCAGGAGCAGTGCTGGACTGGGCTACCTACTAGGAATGCATTTTGGCATCTTCTTGGTCCTCTTTTGAGGGGTCAGAGTCCAGGCTGCTCCTGGTGGGCAGCAGTAAGACAGACTTGTTGCAGGGCGTTCCATTTTCCTACAGAAAAACACTATTGTCAAAAGACAAGGGGGAAGCCGGGTGCGGTGGTACATGCCTGTAATCCCAGCAGCTCAGGAGGCTGAGACAGGAGAATCACAAGTTCAAAGCCAGCCTTAGCAAAAGTGAGGCACTAAGCAATTTAGTGAGACTCTGTCTCTAAATAAAATACAAAAAAGGGTGGGGGCTGTGTCTCAGTGGCCAAGTGCCCATGAGTTCAATCTCTGGTATCAAAAAAAAAAAAAAAAAAAAAAAGACAAGGGAGAGGTTGAAAGGAATAAGCTACTTCTAAATACCCAAGGGGTGGCATGCTCTGTGCACTGATATTTGGTGGAAGTGAAGGGCCCCGAGAAAGAATTGCTGGCATGTGCTCTTGACCTCAGCACCCAAGTCCATAGTGGAAAGAGTGCTGGCTGGCATCAGAAAAACCCTGGTCTAGGTCCCAGCCCTCCCCAAATGGGCTCTGTAACCTAGGACAAGTCACACCATCTCAGCCTCCACCAGTTTTCCTACCGGTGATAAGGTAAGGCACTATCAGAGTGCAGATGCTGTTTCTCCTTCATTGGTGTTCATCCTTCCTTCAGCCATTGGAAGACTGGACTATGGTCCTGAGAACAAGTGTTCTTGAGCCAGAATGCTCAGACCCAAGCATGTGTGTGTTGATGGGAGAAGGGGAGAGAACAGCCACCAGAGGCATAAGTAAGGCTTCCCCTGTCCCCAGCTGAACTCAAGGATCCAAATAGCATTAAGAATGGCTACCACTTAATGCAAGGAAGTAGAACCAATGTCTAAGACCAGTAGGAAGATGGCTTTTAGAATAAACTGTCCCTAAACACTCACTCCCTTGACTGAGGAGAGAGTTGTCACATATGCACTTAGCTAACCACTAGAAACAGAAGCAACCATAAGGCAACATGGGATGACATGATAAAGCCTCAACTTAAGGAAATCCCCCATACAGAAGATGGTTCAACCGAGAAGCCTTTAAAAGGCTTGCCCACAAGGTGAGCCCTTGGCTGGCATTAGGAACTTGTATTTCGAGAAGGTTACCATTCCTATAACTGGTAAGAGTGCCTAAACTGTTTACACAGAAAGGTAGTTTCTGCTGAACACGTTTTCCTTCTGAGGCTGGCACTTTGACACGTGCTAGGCAGAAGCTGCCTACATGATTAGCCCCCAGTAAAATCCCTGAGTGCTCAGTTACTAATAAGCTTCCTTACTGGCAATGTTTCACGTGTGCTCCCACAATTCATTGGTGGAAATATGCTAATCATGTTCCATGTGGCTATGGACGGATTCTCAGAAGCTTGTACTTAGTATCTGGACTTTGCCTTTGTGCCCTTTGCCTTTACTGACTGTGCCTGGCATGCTTTACAAACCACAATCATGACTACTACATATTGAGTTCTACAAGCCCTCCCTAGTGAAGTTCAGAACCCAAGATCAGTCTTTATGATCCCTGAGATACACCCCCATTCTGAACTTCTAGCAAAGCCCCACTACCAGACTGAGCTCCAGAACTCAGGTCATTCATGGATATTTCTGATTCTTTCACTGAACTCCATTCTCCCCTCCCAACCTCCACATCCATGCTCTGACCTTTATGAGTTTAGACAGATTGTAGGGGGAGGCTCTCTCAGGCAGCTCTACTGAACAGTGCCAATAAAGAAGGCACCAGATCATTTGCTCCTGTGCTGAGCCTTTCATTTTGAAGAATGGGATTGGGGCCAGGGGTGTAGCTCAGTGGTAGAGCACTTGCCTAGCATGTGTGAGGCACTGGATTTAATTCTCAGCACCACATAGAAATAAAAACAAAATAAAGGTATTGTGTCCATCTACAACTAAAAATGTTTTTTTTTAAAAAAAAAATAGAATAGTATTGAATACTTACTAAGGCTCAAGTGTCCTGCTCACTCCACACAAGTGAACACTGACATCACAACACCAAGACTGAGGGTAATCAGACCCATGGCAATGGCTCAGGAAACCACTCTGGCAGGAAGGAATTCTAGACCAATTTCTCTAAGGGGGAAACTAAAGCTCTGCTGGGTTATATAAGTATTGCTACCACCTCTATTCAAGGCACATTTCTATCACCACAGTATTTTCATACACACACGTCTCCCACCCACCCACCACATTAGATAATGAGGCCCCAAGGGTGGTGCTGTACTCAGGATTGAACAGATCTGACCTTCTCCAAGTCACATGGCTCATAAGTAATAGGAAACAGTCTCCTAGCTCCAAGGGAATGTCCTGGTGTAGCAGTGACAAAGCTCCTTACTTTCCAAACCCCACATGCTTGAAGAGCACCCAGACTGGAAAGAATATGCACAAGGAGGGCCCACAAGAACATTCCAACCACCTGTGTGTCCCTTCACTGAGCTGTGTTTCTCTAATGCTGGATTTCTTAATTTCAGCAGGCACAGAAACCTTCTGCTCTGGCCAGCATCAATCAGCTGACCATAAGGAACCATCTTCAAAATTTAGCCCTTTTCTCTTAGTAAAGATTAGAAATAAACAACAGGACAGTTGTGAGTAAGAGAAATGATTTAACTTTATAAAAATGTGATAATACAGCAATATTTGATTTCTTTCCTTTTCTTTTTCTGGCAAGTAAAGTTTATAAAAACACCTGGAATAAAAATTAGAAACATAACCTAATAAAATTAGAAACAAACATTTCAAGGAAACAAGTCATTAAAAGACATAGAAAGACAAGGAAGGGACAACATTGAGCAGCTAAAGCAGCAGCTACATGGGGAAGTTGGTTCGGCTATGAGGACAGAACAATCAAAGACCAACATGAACCTGACCTTTCATACCAGGCTGGGATGAGTGGGCTAAGGATGGGCAGTAACCATCAGAGAGGCATGAAGGCTTCCCAAGGACCAGATCGATGGTGCTGGCTCAGTGGGCGTAGGGGGACATTGGCCTCCTGCAAACAGCCCACATGCAAGCTCCTCTTACAGGGCCTCTCAGCCACATGGCAGTGATGCACAGCCAAATCTTGAAGAATTGGCACTGTAGAGCTGGCTTCCTCCTATGCCCACTTGTTTCTAACCTGTAGTTCTACAGGTCACTATCCCACAGTCGTGAGCTCAGTGGGTAGAAACATATCAATATGTCAACCTAAGCTTGGGAGGCAAACATGCCAGGGAGAAACCAAGAAATCTGGACACCTAGTGCTACATACAAAATACTTTTTGTAATGTCTGCACCATAGCCAAAGTGGAATTAGGACCACCTTGGAGAGGCAGGCCAGGAACGCCAGGCAACATTCCCCTAGAGGGAAAGGGCGTCCCAAGGATGCTGGGTGAGTTCTTGACTACATTCTGAGGTAGTCTAATCATGACTTGCACAGGTAGCTGAGAATGGTCACAAAAGATGGAGGGAGGGAGGGCAGAAAAGTTGCCATATAGAGAAAAGACTAACATTATATAACGGAAGGAACTACGCTACAAGTGGGCTCAGAGATAAGGAGGATGCGACCTAGGCTCAGGGTGGCTGGCAGTAGGGCCCACATGGACCCTGGGCACACACAGCTTTTATACTACTCACTGCTGCAGCAGTGTGGCAGGAAATGAGGGAATCCACAGAGGGATTTCCTGGCCCCAAGCAGTGGCAACTCTGAGATGAGGGGTGTCCATCTTAAATGACTAACCCCCTTCTACTGACTCTTATCATGAAGGGATTGAACCAGAGAGCCTGGGAGCTTTAGGGCAAGGAGTCCCAATGTTCCCTTCAACAGGACTCCTCTAACCTGAACATGTCTAGCGGGAGTAATACTGTTAGACCTTAACTTGGAAAACACTTACAAGGTACCTGCAGGTGAGGGAGCAATCAGACCCTAAGCCACCACTGAAAGAGAAATAACAACAAGCAAAGGTGGTGTTAGACACCCCCCATACTCTATTTTTTTTAATGCTAATTTACAGTCTTATTCTCTTCTGCCCTCCAGCATTCAGAATTCTAAGACAGGATGGAATGTTCTGAAAGTTTAGGAGGCAGCAGCTGTGTTTAGATGTTAGTATTTTCTCTGCTTTCCACATTTTCGCGAACGTCTTCTAGGACGGAGTTCACCAAAGTCTTCAACTTCATTTTCATAATCATCTTCCTGAACAATACCTAAAAGGAACAAGAAAAAAAAAAACATGAAACAGAGACAAGGCAAAGGTTGATTTTTCCCTTATTCCACTGTAAAACATAACATCCTAGTAAAACCTAATATTTCTGTAATCATTTTATATTAAAGAAATGAAGCTTTCTATTAGGGTGCCGCCAAAGTGAATTTTCCTTTGAGTACTGATATTGCTTCCCAAGAAGTGACAAAATAAACACCCTTCTCCAGAATAAATTCTTTTTAGCTGGTTCCTCTGGCCTTTCTAGAAGCCATTTAAGTGGCAAATCAAGCAAACTCAACCATACTCTTGAGTTGGTATACTAATTACCTTCCTTTTGAAACAATCACAAAATTATAGTACCCAGAAGGAACTATATGGTAAAGGGTGGGGGTTTTTGTTTGTTTTTAGTTTTAATTGGCAGAGATATTTGTGCCAAGTCCCTTCAAGTTTTCCCCAGTGCTGGGGTCTGGATTTCCCAGTAGCATCTGGAAGGGCATTCAAAGCTGATGAAATCCTCAGAGCAAAAGGAAGTGTGGTCCAGCTGGGAAGGGGCAGTAATTGGAATGGGCAAGAGGGAAGACACAGTGCATCCCACAGAACTTGTCAAGAAATTCTGACTGCCAACAAAGAAACCTGAATCGCTCTTCTCAGTCCTGTAACCCTCTATAGAAAGATGCTGCAAGCTTCCCCACTGGTTTTGTTTGTTTTGTTCACAAGCATATTTCCAGACCCACACAGCACTAGTATATACTATACGCTCAGAAAATATCCCCAGATTTGTGTGTTTAATTAATTAAATTTTGGTACTGGTGATTGAACCCAGGGGTGTTTACCACTGAGCTATGTTCCCAGACCTTTTTTATGTTTTTATTTTGAGACAGGATCTTGCTAAGTTGCTTACGGCCTCTCTAAGTTGCTGAGGCTGGCCTAGAACTTGCAATTCTTCCACCTCAGCCTCCTGAGCTGCTGGGATTAGACATGCACCATCATGCCCAGCTATATTCACTGATTTAAATGAATGATTAACAAAGGCAAATATTTTATCAATGGATGGTTTTACAATACTTTGCCTATCTTTGGCCTTCACTGTATTGAGTATGTGCAGTGACTGAACATCATTAATAATAGTCCATTAGCAGCAAAAGGTTTCTAGCAACTAAAATGGGCCCAGAATAATGGCCCTCACAGTCTGATGGGGAAACTTTAATACTATGTTGCTAATAGTTTTATTACTGTCATGATACTTCTAGACAGTGAGAAGCGGCTACTGATATCAGAGGAAGCCCTACTTCACATTCACTGAGGAGCCAGCAGCATCAAGAACCAAGGATCCTGGCTTGGGCTGGGGCTCAGCAGTACAGCACTTGCCTAGCACGTGTGAAGCACTAGGTTCGACCCTCAGCACAACATAAAAATAAATAAATAAAATAAAGGTATTATGTCCATCTTTAACTAAGCAAACAAACAAAACAACAACAACAACAAAAAGACAGGATCCAAATGTTACCTGTCTGTGGAGAAAAGGACTCCTTACCTTCATCCCTTAAGTGGAGTTCTGTTTTTGTCAACCACTCCTGTGCATCCTTGACTGACAGGACCAGAATTTTGACCAGATGAGTCATTGCCTCCTCCGCTGAAGAAACCAAGGAACAAGGGTTCTGAGTCAAGAGGCTATTGCAGGAACCAGAACACCATGCACTAGAGCCAAAGTGCCCATGCCCAAGAGCTAGTGTGTCTGCTCTTTCTCTGAAAAGAGGCTTCCTTACAAGGTAAGGGACCTAAAGCTGCCTTTTGCTGCCACAAAGCTGCCTTTAATGCTAGCCCTATGCCATTACTGTACATCTGCAGAGACTGCCAATAACAAACCCTTCCAGGAAACTTGCACTCGAAATGTCATTAAAACTTACACTGAAGAGAGTGTCTGAATTATAGAAGATTTTAAAATATGCAGTTTTGCTAATTTTATACATAACTTCCACCAGTATTGCTAAGAAATAGCTTATAAGAAAGCTGGAGGACACTTGATTTTAAGACCACATAAGAGTTCTTATTCAAAGCCCACACTGGAGTATGACTGAAGGGACCCTCCTACAAAAAAGAAACCAGCTATGCACTTCCAGATCTTACTCTAGGGTTTTGCACATAATAGGTGCTCAAGAAAAGAGCACTGAACTAATGAATTGGGAGACCCTAAAAGAGTTTTCTCAAGACTTTAAACATTCTTTCTATATCTTCTCCACATAATTGGTTAGCAAACCATGTTCTCATCTGTAGGGCCAAAGATAATCACAATTTTTTAATTGGGGAATGGGTGGCTCAAACAATGAGGTTTTGCCATAATTTGAGGACAAAAATTCTTTACTTATATTTCCACTAATGCCAAGATACCATCACCCCCCAAGTCAGCCCTCACTACAAACAGCATAACTCTGAGTGTCTAACATGCCTAACACCGTTTGGGCCCCATCTCCACAGGTTCTTACCTCCTGCCCAGGCCTTTCGCCTGTAGAGGTCCTCCACCAAATCTGAAACCCTCTTGATGTGCTCCTGGACCTTCCTCTGCAGCATGTGGCTATGCTCTTTAGAGCCCAGGTGACTACGGATCCACACACTCTGCTCGATGTCCTGTACTACCAGTTTGCCTTCATCAATGGCTGGGTCTACCTTCGCATGGAAAAATTCTGAGTATTTCTGGTAAGCCACCTGCTGCCTCTGGTGGGCTTCTAGGCGGATGTGCTGCTCATAAGACTCGCTGGTCCTCTCTCGACACTCTTTTCCTTCCAGCTCAGCCCTGGAAAGGACCACAGCCTCTGAAGCCGCTCCTTCAAATGCTTTGCTGGAGCTGAAGTAGTTCTCAGGGCTCCGGGTGAACTTCACCCCACACAGGTCGCACTGGGTCCTGTCTACATCAGCCCTTTTGAAGTTCCCAACCCCAGGCTCTCTAGCTTCCTCCCTGACACGTTCAGTCTGAACTCGTCTCCTCCAACTGATGCAGACAGATACCACCAGGCACGCTCTTCTCAACTTGCGCTGGATGGAGGCCTTCCGCTGCTTCTGCGAAAGGATGGCAGCCAGGAGGTGGTCTCGGTCTTCCAGTGCCAGCTCATCTGTCTCATCCTGACCAAACTCACACTCGGGTTCAGCAAAGTAGTCCACTGGGCCCACACAGAGTAAGCGATTTAGTTTGACCTCCTCATGACAGAGGCCACGAACCATAGACCCTTTGGTGTGCACACTGTCCCACCGCCAGTGACAGTCCATCAGGTACTCTTCGTCTCGCTCAAAGAGCAGATCCTGGAGTGCCTCGGCCACAGACTTCACATTGACAGCCATTAACACTCGCCTCACCACCTTCCGAAGCCTCTCAGGGACCTGATCTGGACAGTCCATGCTCATTAGCTGCAGCCTCGTCTCAATCTCCTGGAAGTGGCGGTACAGAAGAGGCTTACAGAATGGCTGCAGAACCTCCTCAGCATTCACGAGCATCACCAAGCACAGCACCAGTGTCCGCTCGGCCTCACCTGAGACCACATAGTCTATTTCACTGAAGGCATCAAGCAGGACATTGAAGTTTGCATTCTCATAGCCACATAGCACCTTGACGAGGTAGGATAGGTGAAATCGGAAGTCCTGAATGGCTCTTGTCACATCCTTCGGTTTGTAATCCTGAATGATGGAGAACACGTCCCCAAGCTCCTTGTCCTTCTTGCTGAAAAGGAACTCCCAGTAGTGCAGGAGTGCAATGTAGCTCTTGGGGAGGCACAGGATGGCGTTCTTCCAGAGGCGGGCCAGCACCACCCCACAGTGGATGAACTGGAACTCCAACAGGGCCACTGTGTTTCCAATGCTGGGGATAAGTGGTTCTTTGCACCTCTTGATGAGGACGTTCATGAAACGGAAAAAGAGCCTCTTGTAGTCTTCTGGGTTCCTGTACACATATAACTGGTCGATGCAATTCTCCAGCAGCCGGATGAAGCAAAGATGGGTCTTCTCTGCACTTTCGTCATCCTTGTTGGGTACCAGCATGCCAAATTTTCCTTCTATTCCTTTCATCCTGCTGCTTCTCCCCCTGCCCCTCTCTTCTTTCTCAGACTCCAGAGCTTTCAGTTCCCTGTTGTAGTTGTCCTCCTCCTGGTGGAGCAGCTTTCCAAACTCCTCTGGGTAGCTGGAGGAGAGAAGGAAAGCCTGCATGGCGCTCAGCCACAGGTCTGTGGACTCCCGACGGCTGCGTGCCCTTTCATTTTGAAATAGAGAGTGGATGTACTCTTTCAAGGCAAACCTGTAGGATCGGAATGATTTGTAATTTGGTTTGAGGATTTCTTTGCATGCCATGGGGTTTTCTGACAGCACTCTCTGATGGAAATGCCTAGGGAAGAGGACATTTAGAAAGGATTTGCAAAGGCCATATGTATCTGTAGACAAAATATAATCTATTTCTTCAAGCTCTTCAGCTAAGATTTTAGGAAATACTTTTTTGGCTTCTAAAAGCAATCCATTGATTGCCACCAGGTGCATTTTCGACTGAACCAAACACTTGGCCTCACAACGACGCAAAGGCCTGTGAAAATCTTCACAGTTTTCATCCTCACATTTTAAACCTACAATAAACCTCGCACAGATCCCTGGGTAGGTCTTCCCAAGCAGGCTCTGTGTGATCTGACACAGCCTGCTCAAAAGGTGTTTGTTGAGGGCTAATTTCACTTGGTCAGTCATTATTAAGAAATGATCTTTCGTTTTCTTCTCTCTCAAGTTCAAATCCAGGTCAAAAATTATTCTTAATATGGGTCCAGGGTCATTCTGAGCTATCTGGCAATACTTGGCATCCACCTGGGAAATTCCAAAAAATTCAAAGCAAGATTTGACCATTTCCTTCTCAGCATTGTTAGTTACTCTCTTAAGGGCCCTGACCAGGTTGAGAAGAACTTCCAAGCCCCCTGGAGCCAGGGCCAGAACCTTCTCAGGCTCAGCCTCACACTGACTGGCTGCTTCGTAGAGTGCTTCCACCACTCCAGCTGAATGGTTGAGCGTGTCAAACTTGAGGATGGCATCTTTGAGCTTCTGGAAGTCTCTCAGAATTACCCCCTGCAGAAATTGGGCCTCTGCGATGCCAGACAACTGGCTGGTTTGATAGCAGAGATCAAGCGCTTCTCTTAGGATGGCCTTGGTATGCTCTATGTCAGAATCTCTGGCCACATTGAGGCGGGCAACCCCCAGCAGACAGGAGGCCTGGAAGTCCTTGTCAGCCGTGAGTCTGGCAGCCTCCAGGAGGCAGCCATGTTGTTTCATCAACAGTGCAGCCTCTTCTCTCCGACCTTCCCTGTTCAGCAGGTCTGCAGCTTCTGCTAGGCGTTTTCGAGACTTAAGGAATACCAGCTGGTCTTCTATGTCTAGCTTTGAGAGGACAGCCATCATTTCCTTGGTCTTATTTGCACTCAGGTACTTCGCTGCAGCTTCCAAATAAAATTGACTGGCAGAATATGAGAGCTTGGAAATAGGAAAGGTCTTGGTCTTTAGCATTTCTTCATACCTGAAAAAACAGGTCATGCAAATGTCAACCTGTTATCACCCAACCAATAGGAATTTCCTTCAAAATATAGCACAGAGTAATTTAAATAAAACTCCCACATGGAGATATTTTTTAAAAGACCTAAACTTATCAAGCATTCAAGCATTTTTATAAGTGCTTCACTATATAGTTATCAGTATAATAATTATAACTAATAAAATCTTTTTTCTTCAAAGAAATCAGGCATTAGTATGCATAATTAGTGAAATATATTGCCGTTACAACTCAAGCAAATAGGAATGAAGTTTGAAAGCCAATCTATAGGGCAAAATTCATACACAGTCAAAATTATCCTTGAATAAAACTCCCTTCAGCTCTGATAAAAGCATGATAATTATTTTGAGTATACAACTCCAATAAACTTGAAGGCAATTAACAAGAAAGGATGACATGGGTGTTATATACACATCAGCAATCGTACCAGTCTTCCTCTTATCCAACGCATGATTCTTCCCTCGCCAGGTGTGCATGGATTCATGTGAGACTAGTGAAGCTCTGATGGGTCCTCCTTTATTCTGCTGATTGAGTGGGTATAGCCTGCTATATACACACTCATAACAAACCCTTCATCTTCTTTGGCCCCCTCTCATGAAACTGTGTCAAAGCTTATCAAGAGTGGAAAACAGTCTTAGTCTCAAGGACTTCCTGACTCAGTACTAAGGTTGCACTCAAGTGGGAGGAGGTCATTACATCCCAGGCACTTCAGAAGCAGCAAGATAATACCACCCAGGGTAGCCTGCCCCCAGAGAGAGCAGGAGAAGGAAGAGAGATGGGAGAGAATGAAGACACTTACTTTTCCACTGCAATAGCAGCTTCCTCAAAAAGCTCCTCTTGGCAGTACATTTTGAGTGCTAGATCAAACTCCTGAATCTGCTCAAAGCATCTGAAAGCATCTTTGTAGCACTGACTTCGCTTATAGAAATAAGCAGCATCTCTTATCTGGGACAGAGTAAAATTTTACCTTTATTTGAAGTATTCTTAACTTTTTAAAATAAAACCAGTATGTGTTGGACATAGTCAAGAATGAAGGGAACATAAAAATCTCATGCACAAAGTGGTATGGCCATTCTGGAAAGGAACATGGTCACACTTGGTAGTGTGGATGTCCACTCCTAGCAATACATGCCATAAAAGGTTCATACAGTACCATGAGGAGATGTGCCACCCCATGGTGCTGGAAAATGTGAAAAACAGAACAAGATGCTATTTAGATACACTTCTTCAATAACACATGCATTCATGGACACATAATATTAAATCTATTATTAAATGGAAACTGGCCATGAAGAGGAAGAGAATGAACAAATAAAATGCAATGATTGGGCTTTGTAACCAACAAGGTGGGTTTGCCATGAACAGAAACATATATCTGACTCTCCTTCTTACACTTCTCATTTAGGCCATCACCTAACCCCTCATTTCCCATCTATGACCCCATTCTACCACCTCCACCATCATCATGTAGTGTAAACTCCATCATCTCAGACTACACTCCTAACTGACCTTTCCACTTCTACTGCCCTCTAAAACTCTCCACAGAGCACTTAATTAGTTTCATGTCACTTCTCCACTCAAAACATTCCCAGGCTCTCCATTCCACTTGAACAAAGTGTGGTCCTACCACAGGCAACAAGTCCCCACATATTCTCTTCCTGCCACCCTCTCTTACTCATGGCACAAATTCTACCCTCCCCATTATACTCTGGCCAACCAGGCTTCTTTGCTATTCTTCAAACTTGCCAAAATTCTCCCACTTCACAGTTTTTGCCTATAAGAGTCTGGCTATAAGGTCTGCCAGCAGCTGTCCTCAGAATTTCTGCTCAAAAGTTAGCTCTCTGACCCCACTATCTAAAATAGCAAACCCTTCTCCCCTCACATGTTTTATTCTTCTTAGCACTCATCCTCACTGACATCTCACAAACTATTTATTTATCTATTTATATCTCTCCTGCACAGGGAGATGGGGGGGAGCTCTGAAAAGACTGAGCTCTCTTCTTTATGGTCTCCTGTTCACAAAGCACCTGGCACACAGTAGGAGGTCTATCTGTTGAATGTTTAATTTCAAAACTGTACTTGCTGCATCTTAGGCTCAAAGAGAAAAAATAAAAATGAAACAAACAAAATATATGTGATGATCCCCCCCACCAAATCTCATCTTTAATAAGATAAGATACATGAAGTGCTAAAATAAACAGATACAGATGCGAGTTTCTTCTACATCCAGAGACCTCATAGACAAGGGAGCTTCTAGACCAATCTCAGTCATACAAACAAAACCTTACAACCCCTACATTTAACCACCCCTTTTTTCCTCCCTCGTCAATGCCAATTACTCAAGAGAAAAATCCATGTGTATACATGAAAGCCTACTGGATGTCAAGTGTGTGTCCAATAGGAGAGATAGAAAAGAGAGGGCTGGCTTTAAGTGGCAACTCCCCCTCCTCTGGTTGCCTTACTGGGAGGAGGCTGTACCTCCCATTCCAGAAAGGATGCAGAAAGGTTTCCAGGGAAACCAACACTGCTTCCTGAAGAGAGGCAGGACACAAGCTAGGCATAGGAAGCCCTGAAAGGAGGACTTACACTCCCATAGCACCCACACAAACATTTCTTCCCAGGGATAGAGTTATGTTATGCTATGCTATGTTATGCTATGCTATGCTATGTTATGGCTTGGCTTGGATATAAAATGTCTCCTAAAAAGCTTATGTGATAATGCAGGAATATTCAGAGATGAGATGATCAGATTATGAGAGTTGTAACCTAATCAATGAATTAATCCATTTGATAGATTAGTAATTTGAATGAATTACCAGGTAATAATTGCAGGCAAATGAAGTGTGGCTGGAAGCGATGGTGCCAGCCAACCATGGACCGAACCTCTGAAACAATGTGCGCCATATAAACTTTTCCTCCTTTAAGTTGTTTTTGTCAGGTATTTTGGTTGCAGCAGTGAACAGCTAACTGGCACAGATAGCATGCATTTGGGAGCTGGGAATAGGAAGACAGTTGGGCCTGATGACTTAGCAAAGGCTATTGCCAAGGTGGTCAATTTTAATCTTGATAGTCAAAGTGGGGAGATGATCACAATACTGGCTGAGAATTGAATGACCTTCCAGGGATGGGGGGGGCTCATCAAAGATAGGAACCAGATTCTTCACTGAATAGATTTTAGAACTGCTGGAATGTGCTGGAAAGAAAAAGTAGAAGAAGACCTAGAAACCAGACTTGGGCAAGCAGAAAGGTACAGGGAAAGCTGATCCTCCAGGAACAGGATAGCCTCCACACTTTGAAGGAACTGCAGTCCTGGAGAAGGCTGTGGGGGCTACACTTATGATCCACTGGTCTCCCCTACCCCCACTGTCAGAGGCAGTGCTGGACAGGTTAGGCGATCAAGGTGGGTAAGCAGACAAGGGAAGGATCTCTAGCTCAGTCTTGGCAGGTTCTGATAGGCAGAAAGGAAAGAGTGTAGTTACTGCTCAGAGTTCAACATAGTGGCACTGACAACTGGAGAGCAGAGACTAAAGAACTTGAAGAGGTTGGAATAAATCACCCAAAATTCCACCCACACTGAAATGTTTTCTCCAGTGTCCCTCCCTATTTTGTCTCCATTTCCCATATCTTGAGAAGTCACATCCTATAATAATCATGGAGCAGGGAAGGCAGTGTTAGTAAGGCCTTCTCTTCTCAGACACTGACTTTAGGTCACCATTCAAACTTCCTAGTAGGTTCCACTACTACCCCTCCAGGGGCCAGAGTGCTCTGAGTATCCTAGGAATTACTGCATTTGACAAAGACATGGAAACAAGTCTTTCTATTGGAGGATCACGAAACCTGACATAGGGGAGATGCAACAGCTCAGTTGGACTCTCTAAAGCACATCTCCAACTCCCTCTGGTAAAAGATCGATTGTTTAAAATTTCTAATCCACCACCACCGATACACTGAAAAATGAACTGACAAGAAAACAACCACCACTTGGATGTCCACAGCAACACCAAACAGCTATAAAAATCTCTAACTGCTTACTTCCCTCTTCTGTATTAATCTTGCTTCAGACAACAGTCTGCAGCCCACCGCCAGCTGGTTGACTCTCCATCAATAACTGCTCCTGACTAGCAATTCTGTCCAACAGGATTTTCTGCAATGATAGAAGTATTCTATAATAGTGAGCACTCACAATATGGCTAGTGAGACTGAGGGTGTGAATTTTTTTTAATTGTAGTACATTCTAATTAATTTAAAATTTAAATTAAATAGCCTCATGTGGCTGTTGGATTGGATAGAGCAGATATAGAGTAATTACCAGAAACATAGAAAAACCTTCATGTTAACACTAGGCCACTTGCCCAAGCTAACCTCAGACTATGAACACAGGGAAAGAGAAGGCAGGAATATTCAATACTCATCTGCCCTGTGATTTAAACGTTTGGCTTCCCTTGGATAATATCAGGCCTTGAATGTTAGCACAGACATAGATACACACACACACACAGACACACACACACACACACACAATCTTCAGAGCCTTATAAAAGCTTGAGCAGGTAGAGAAAGAAAAGGGCCACAAGCAGAGGTGAAGGGTCACATCCCCCATTCTGTTCAAGTGAAGCCCAGTTCTCCCAGGAGCAATTGGAGGTTGGAGGCCTTACCTTTCCCAGCCTCTCACACAACTGAGCAGAGAGCTGGAACTCCTTGGCATAACTCAGGCACTTAAGGGACAGCTTTGGTTCATTGCACTCCAAATAGGTCTTAGCCAGTTCCAAATACTCCAACTGCTTTTCCCTGGAGGAAGGGAAACAAAACAGTATTTCCATACACTGTTGATCTAACACCAATATATTTAACCTGCTGCTCTCATCAGAGCAAATCTGAAATGATACTGACACATTGCTAGTCAAACTTACTTGGGGCTAACTTTCTTGGATTTCATATTCAGGGCAGTGTTATGGGCCAGGGCCAACTTCTCCTTCTCAAAAGCACCTCCTTTTTGGTAACACTTGGCTGCAACCTGGAATAGGCAAAGGGGTTTGATTCTCAGAAAACTAATGTTAAGTGACACAGAACAAGAGTTCAAGTATGCATTATATGGTTAGATTGATAAGGCACTATACCTTACTCAGCCCAATATGAGAAGCAGAAACAGAAAGGTACAGTTATGCCAAAGAGAGTAACCTCAGAAGATAAAGCCCAACAGTGTACCAGCCAACACATTCAAAATCTTATTTAGGAAGTATCCGGAAGCCATAGAAAAGATGGATACTATTAATTTTTATAGGCCACCATAATGACATCTGAAGTTTAATTTTCCAATAGCCATGTGCAAGAGGTATCCTTGCTACATATATCAACTTCAGGTCAGAGCCAGGGAGCAATTGGCTCAAAGTCACCCTGTGCCTTTTCTGGGCTTTAACACAGCTGCTAACTACAACAGCTATACTGTGGTGCTGGTGAAACAATCACAGTATGTGTACTGGGAGTAGAAATATCAAGATATTTGGAGCATGTGGATCTGTTACCAAGCTCACTGTCTAGGAAGTATGCAGGCAAGTGTCATAGGGGAGTCAGTCTGCACCTCAATCATTGCCAACAGAAAGCTGCTTTTCTAAAACAACAATGCTCATACCATGTCTCAAAGTGTAGGCTACAAGGGCAAGTATTTGTTGAATGATTCAATCTTGTGTGGTAGTTCTGAAACATTCATGACATGCGCCAGAAACTCAATAAACCACCTGAGTCCTGAAGTCCTTTAGTAGGATCAAAATAAATTCAGGTGAGAAGAAGTTTTTTTTTATAACATTCTCATCTGTGATTGCCTCCCTAAAAAGATTTTAAATTCAAACATTCAAAAGTATTTTTGAATGGGTAATACCAAAGAGTTCTGAGGGGAATAAAGGGAATTTTCCAATATCATCCAACACCTGCTGCCCATCTTCTCTCCTCCTTCCCTCCCTACCACTCACCCTCTATTTCACCAAAAAAAAGTTCTTGGTTTTACAACAACAGCCAAATGTTCAGTATTTCTTTTCAATTATAACAAGGATAGGCAATGAATAAAATTTTAGGGCTTGATCAATTTCTACAGCTAAATAGTACATATATTTGAAACTGCCTTCCAGACAAATCAAACTTATACTGGTGTAAGTTTTGTTTTCTCACCTCATGTAACAGATTCCAAGAGTAGCCATAGTCCTTCACTCCACCCTATCTCTGCCACATCCTTTTATAGTGTAACTTTTCAGCTTCAGACTGCTGCCTATCTCCCCTCCCTTCTCATGTGGAAGGGACTTGCTTGGACAACAGAAGTCAGCAGAAATGACACTTGTCCAGCATCAAGGCCAGGCCTCAAGGGGCCAAGTACTTCTGCTCACCTTCTTTGAACCTTGGCCTCCCATGAACAAGTCCAGACTAGCCTGCTAGAGAATGAAGGAAAGATGGTCTAGGAACCCCAATGACCCCCTCACCTGTTCCAAGCGCTAGTCAACCCCACAACTACCTAGCTGAGTGGAAGCTGAATGCAGAATCACAAGTTTCCCAGCTGAGACCAGAAGGACAACCCACTAAACTCACACTGTGAACCACAGAACTGGGAGCAACATAAATAACTTGTTATAACCAGTAAATTTGGAAGCCATTTGTTATGCAGCAACAGGTAACAAATAAACACTAGATGTGAATTATTTGCTGTGGACATTAACTATTTTTCCTTGCCACAGCAGAGAAAGCTCTTCTAAGAAATGAGACCAAGGAGACTTTGGGAATTCCTTCTTATAGGCATTCAGACCACAGACAGCTCACATCATGGATTCTGATAAGTTCTGGCTTATAGTTTCAAGTTTCTTATCACTTCCCAGTCCCTTCACTTAGGCCCAGCTCCATGAAATTCTGATGAGAAGAGGATTATTAGAACAAAAAAGCCCTCCAGAGAATCATCATCTCAAAACACTTCTTCAGAAATAGCAATAGAAACTGCAGACAGTTTTCCTGTAACACATGAAGAGCTGGACCTTGCAAACAGGATGGGGGCGTGTGATAGTGAGATGTAAGAGGAAGGCCATTGGCAATTTCATGATTTAAAAAAAAAAAAGGATCCATAAAAAGAAGGTGCCTGCCCTTATTCCTGTTTGGGTTGCTACTGAGGGGGTTGGGTGCTTGGACTCACTGCAGCATACGTTACTTAACCATAGCAGGAATATCTCTTATGAGCTACAGATGACACAAGAAAGATAAAGAATAACATTGGGCCCATGTTTATTTTGTTGAACTACAAAAAAACCCACAACTCTTCTAGCAGGGTGTTTGTGACTTGTAGGTGAAGATACCCTCACCACTACCTCCTGGGAGATAACTGCCATGGTGCCCCACCTGAGACCCTGTGAGGTGGAGGAATGCTGACTGTGGGGAAAGTGATGGGCTCCTTAATTTGGTTTCAATATTTCAAAAGGTCCACTTCCTTTCCTGAAGGAAGGCTTGAAGCTGGAAGTGGGTCACAGTTCAGTCTAGTGACAAGTACATCCTTGCTCACCAGATTCTCACTGGCAGTGCAATCAATATCTGATCAATTGGGAAAAACAAACAAAAAAACCAATCTGTTACTGCTTTAAAATAACAACAAAAGCTTTTAAGCACCGAGTACAAAAAATAAATAAAAGGGTTCTCTGGTGGAACAAAGGCCATGACCCTCCATTTACCTATCAGCACATGTTGATATTTGGCCAAAGGAAAGGATTTTAAGGTCTGCCTTGACAGGGGAGGGAGACGGATAAGTAGCTCTCCTCATCTTCAGGTGACCTAATGTTTAAGAACAAATGGCACAAGCCTGTTGATACCTGTGATGGTAGGAAACCTGCCTATGAGGCATGACAAGGCTAGTAGTCACAAAGCACCCTGACCACTGACTGCTGGTCCAGCCCCTTACCTTCCAGCACTGGTGCTTGGCATAATACTCTCCTTGGGCAATCCACTCCTCGGGAGTTGAGGTCTTAACGAACATGCTATCATCAAAGTCTAAAATGAAAAAGAAAAGCAGGTTTGCTTCTCTGAGCATTCATTCACTCATACCTGTTATTGTGGGCTGTATTTTGTGTCCCCCAAAATTCATTTGTAGAAGTACTAAACCCTACTATATCAGATTGTAACAGAGCCTTTAAAAAAGTGATTAACTTAAAACGAGGCCATTATTGTGGGCCCTAACCCAACCTGACTGATGTCAGAAAATAAGGACATGCAGAGACCCCACTGAGGAAAAACTGTGTGAGGACACAGCAAGAAATCATCTATCTACAAGACAGAGGAGCCTTGGAAGAAACCAGCCCCGCCATCACCTTTCTCCTGGACTTCTAGCTGCTAGAACTGTAAGAAACACATTTCTGTCATTTGAGCCATCTAGCCTGTGGGATTTTGTTATGGCAGACACATCAGGCTAATACACCCATGTTATCTTGCTAGTCTTCTTTTAAGATATATTTTAGCTTACCAAGCCAGGTGGGTATGGGTTTCAGAAGGAAAAGATGGAGGTGAAAAAGAATGTGGTTTGGTTTTTTTAAATTTCTGCCTACTTTCCTTTTCTATGTCTATGAATCAGAAGACAACAGCAATTACTAACTCCTCCTTGAAAAATCCAAAGCCACGTAGCTCTTTGCAAGCTCCCAGGCAGGGAATTTAACAAGGAACAAGGTAATGGGGTATTACAGAACAGATGCAACTTGACTTGTGATGGTTATATCCTGATAAACCCCATGGTAATTTGAAATTTGAAAATATCATAAGTTGGCGACTGACCGGCAGAACAGGCCCAGCGGTCCGCGGGCATGGTAGGAGGGGCAGAGCAGAGCCGCTGCCCGCGCCCGGAACAGGCCCAGCGACCTGCCGGCGTGGTAGTCACGACACCCCAATTGGAGTAGGGGCAGAGCAGAGCTGCCACCCGCGCCCGCAAGATAGGCGGACCTGCGACCGACCAGCGGAACAGGCCCAGCGGCCTGCCGGCGCGGCAGACACATCCCTCCATTTGGAGTAGGGGCAGAGCAGAGCCGCTGCCCGTGCCCCCAAGGTAGGCAGACCTGCAACCGACCGGCGGAATAGGCCCAGTGGCTGGCCGGCGTGGTAGTCACGTCACCCCAATTGGAGTAGGGGCAGAGCAGAGCCGCCTCCTGCGCTCGGAACAGGCCCAGCGACCCGCCAGCGTGGTAGACACGTCACCCCAATTGGAGTAAGGGCAGAGCAGAGCCGCCGCCCACGCCTGCAAGGTAGGCAGACCTGCGACCGACCTGCAGAACAGGCCCAGGGGTCCGCGGGCGTGGTAGACACGTCACACCAATTGGAGGAGGGGCAGAGCAGAGCCGCCGCCCGCGCCTGCAAAGTAGGCAGACCTGTGACCGACCGGCAGAACAGGCCCAGGGGCCCGTCAGCGTGGTAGACAGATCACCCCAATTGGAGGAGGAGCACAGCCGCCGCCCGCCCCTGCAAGGGAGACTTTTCAACTATACAAGAGCAATATAAATATATAGGGGGGAAATTTCAAAAACACAACAGTTTCACCAAGCAGAAAGAAACGCGAGCAGTATGAAAAGACAAGGAAAGAAAGGACCACAAGCAATGCAGGTCAACTCAACTTTAGAAGAGGTAATAGCTGCAGCAGATGGAATGTCAGATAAAGAATTCAGGATATACATGCTTCAGATGATCTGGAGTCGCAAGGAAGACATTAGACAGCAAAATCAGACAATGAAAGATCACTTCAACAATGAATTACATAAACAAATCCAGGAAGCAAAAGATCAACTATACAGGGAGATAGAGGTTATAAAAAACAAATAAACAGAAATCCCAGAAATGCAGGAAGCAATAAACCAAATTAAAAACTCAATTGAGAATACTACCAGCAGAGTAGAACACTTAGAAGATAGAACATCAGAAATGAAGACAAAGTATTTCAACTTGAAAAGAACATAGACAGCTCAGCAAGACTGTTAAGAAACCATGAGCAGAACATCCAAGAAATATGGGATAACATAAAGAGACCAAACTTAAGAGTCATTGGGATACAGGAAGGTATAGAGGTCCAAACCAAAGGAATAAGCAATATATTCAATGAAATAATACAAGAAAACTTCCCAGACTTGAAGAATGAGACAGAATCCCAAATCCTAGAAGCCTACAGGATGCCGAATGTGCAAAATCATAAGAGATCCACACCTAGACACATTATAATGAAGATGCCCAACATACAGAATAAGGAGAGAATTTTAAAAGCTACAAGAGAAAGGAAGCAGATTACATTTAGGGGTAAACAAATCAGACAGCTGATCTTTCAACACAGACTCTGAAAGCTAGAAGATCCTGGAATAACATATTTCAAACACTGAAAGGAAATGGGTTCCAACCAAGAATTGTGTATCCAGCGAAATTAAGCTTCAGGATGGAAGATGAAATTAAAACCTTCCAAGATAAACAAAAGTTAAAAGAATTTGCAGCTAGAAAACCATCTCTTCAAAACATCCACGGCAAAACATTACAGGAAGAGGAAATGGAAAATAACAATGAAAACCAACAGTGGGAGGTAGGACAGTAAAGGGGGCGAAAATAATCAAAGAGGAAAACAAACCATGTTTAGTAACATAAATAAACAAATATGGCTGGAAGAACAACCCATATCTCAATAATAACCCTAAATGTTAATGGTTTAAACTCACCAATTAAGAGACACAGGCTAGTAGAATGGATCACAAAACAAGACCCAACAATATGCTGCCTACAGGAGATGCATTTGATAGGAAAAGACATACATAGACTGAAGGTGAAAGGGTGGGAAAAATCATATCACTCATATGGACTTCGGAAACAAGCAGGCGTGTCCATACTCATATCAAATAAAATAGATTTCAAGCCAAAGTTAATCAAAAGGGATAAAGAAGGACACTACATACTGCTCAAGGGAACCATACACCAACAAAACATAACAATCATAAGTATATATGCCCCAAACAATGGTGCAGCTATGTTCATCAAACAAATCTTCTCAAGTTCAAGAGTCTAATAGACCACCATACAATAATCATGGGAGACTTCAACACACCTCTCTCACCAATGGACAGATCTTCCAAACAAAAGTTGAATAAGGAAACTATAGAACTCAACAACACAATTAATAACCTAGACTTAATTGACATATATAGAATATACCACCCAACATCAAGCAGTTACACTTTTTTCTCAGCAGCACATGGATCCTTCTCAAAAATAGATCATATATTATGTCACAGGGCAACTCTTAGACAATATAAAGGAGTAGAGATAATACCATGCATCTTATCTGATCATAATGGAATTAAACTAAAAATCAACGATAAAAGAAGGAAGGAAAAATCATGCATCACTTGGAGAATGAACAATAGGTTACTGAATGATCAATGGTTTATAGAAGACATCAAGGAGGAAATTAAAAAATTCTTAGAGATAAATGAAAACACAGACACAACATATCGGAATCTATGGGACACACTGAAAGCAGTTCTAAGAGGAAAATTCATTGCTTGGAGTTCATTCCTTAAAAAAAGAAAAAACCAACAAATAAATGATCTCATACTTCATTTCAAAATCCTAGAAAAAGAAGAGCAAAACAACAGCAAAAGAAGTAGAAGGCAAGAAATAATTAAAATCAGAGCTGAAATTAATGAAATCGAAACAAAAGAAACAATTGAAAAAATTGACAAAACTAAAAGTTGGTTCTTTGAAAAAATAAATAAAATCGACAGACCCTTAGCCATGCTAACGAAGAGAAGAAGAGAGAGATCTCAAATTACTAGCATACGGGGTGAAAAAGGCAATATCACAACAGACACTTCAGAAATACAGAAGATAATCAAAAATAATTTTGAATCCTTATACTCCCATAAAATAGAAGATAGTGAAGGTATCGATAAATTTCTTAAGTCATATGATCTGCCCAGATTGAGTCAGGAGGATATAGACAACCTAAACAGACCAATATCAATTGAGGAAATAGAAGAAACCATCAAAAGACTACCAACTAAGAAAAGCCCAGGACCGGATGGGTATACAGCAGAGTTTTACAAAACCTTTATAGAGGAACTAATACCAATACTTTTCAAGCTATTTCAGGAAATAGAAAAAGAGGGAGAACTTCCAAATTCATTCTACGAGGCCAACATCACTCTGATTCCTAAACCAGACAAAGACACTTCAAAGAAAGAAAACTACAGACCAATATCTCTAATGAACCTAGATGCAAAAATCCTCAATAAAATTCTGGCGAATCAGATACAAAAACATATCAAAAAAATTGTGCACCATGATCAAGTAGGATTCATCCCTGGGATGCAAGGCTGGTTCAATATACGGAAATCAATAAATGTTATTCACCACATCAATAGACTTAAAAATAAGAACCATATGATCATCTCGATAGATGCGGAAAAAGCATTCAACAAAGTACAGCATCCCTTTATGTTCAAAACTCTAGAAAAACTAGGGATAACAGGAACATACCTCAATATTATAAAAGCAATCTATGCTAAGCCTCAGGCTAGCATCATTCTGAATGGAGAAAAATTGAAGGCATTCCCTCTAAAATCTGGAACAAGACAGGGATGCCCTCTCTCACCACTTCTGTTCAACATAGTTCTCGAAACACTGGCCAGAGCAATTAGACGAAAGAAATTAAAGGCATAAAAATAGGAAAAGAAGAATTTAAATTATCACTATTTGCAGGTGACATGATTCTATACCTAGCAGACCCAAAAGGGTCTACGAAGAAACTATTAGAGCTAATAAATGAATTCAGCAAAGTGGCAGGATATAAAATCAACACACATAAATCAAAGGAATTCCTGTATATCAGCGACAAATCCTCTGAAATGGAAATGAGGACAACCACTCCATTCACAATATCCTCAAAAAAAATAAAATACTTGGGAATCAACCTAACAAAAGAGGTGAAAGACTTATACAATGAAAACTACAGAACCCTAAAGAGAGAAATAGAAGAAGATCTTAGAAGATGGAAAAATATACCCTGTTCATGGATAGGCAGAACTAACATCATCAAAATGGCGATATTACCAAAAGTTCTCTATAGGTTTAATGCAATGCCAATCAAAATCCCAATGACATTTCTTGTAGAAATAGAGAAAGCAATCATGAAATTCATATGGAAAAATAAAAGACCCAGAATAGCAAAAAAAATGCTAAGCAGGAAGTGTGAATCAGGCGGTATAGCGATACCAGACCTCAAACTATACTACAGAGCAATAGTAACAAAAACAGCATGGTACTGGTACCCAAACAGGCGGGTGGACCAATGGTACAGAATAGAGGACACAGAAACCAATCCACAAAACTACAACTATCTTATATTTGATAAAGGGGCTAAAAGCATGCAATGGAGGAAGGATAGCATCTTCAACAAATGGTGCTGGAAAAACTGGAAATTCATATGCAACAAAATGAAACTGAATCCCTTTCTCTCGCCATGCACAAAAGTTAACTCAAAATGGATCAAGGAGCTTGATATCAAATCAGAGACATGGCATCTGATACAAGAAAAAGTTGGCTACGATCTACATACTGTGGGGTCGGGCTCCAAATTCCTCAATAGGACACCCATAGCACAAGAGTTAATAACTAGAATCAACAAATGGGACTTACTCAAACTAAAAAGTTTTTTCTCAGCAAAAGAAACAATAAGAGAGGTAAATAGGGAGCCTACACCCTGGGAACAAATCTTTACTCCTCACACTTCAGATAGAGCCCTAATATCCAGAGTAAACAAAGAACTCAAAAAATTAAACAATAAGAATACAAATAACCCAATCAACAAATGGGCCAAGGACCTGAACAGACACTTCTCAGAGGAGGACATACAATCAATCAACAAGTACATGAAAAAATGCTCACCATCTCTAGCAGTCAGAGAAATGCAAATCAAAACCACCCTAAGATACCATCTCACTCCAGTAAGATTGGCAGCCATTATGAAGTCAAACAACAACAAGTGCTGGCGAGGATGTGGGGAAAAGGGTACACTTGTACATTGCTGGTGGGACTGCAAATTGGTGCAGCCAATTTGGAAAGCAGTATGGAGATTTCTTGGAAAGCTGGGAATGGAACCACCATTTGACCCAGCTATTCCCCTTCTCGGTCTATTCCCTAAAGACCTAAAAAGAGCATGCTACAGGGACACTGCTACATCAATGTTCATAGCAGCACAATTCACAATAGCAAGACTGTGGAACCAACTTAGATGCCCTTCAATAGACGAATGGATAAAAAAAAAAATGTGGCATTTATACACAATGGAGTATTACTCTGCATTAAAAAATGACAAAATCATAGAATTTGCAGGGGAATGGATGGCATTAGAGCAGATTATGCTAAGTGAAGCTAGCCAATCCCTAAAAAACAAATGCCAAATGTCTTCTTTGATATAAGGAGAGTAACTAAGAACAGAGTAGGGACGAAGAGCATGAGAAGAAGATTAACATTAAACAGGGATGAGAGGTGGGAGGAAAAGGGAGAGAGAAGGGAAATTGCATGGAAATGGAAGGAGACCCTCAGGGTTATACAAAATTACATATAAGAGGAAGTGAGCGGAAAGGGAAAAATAATACAAGGGGGAGAAATGAATGACAGTAGAGAGGGTAGAGAGAGAAGAGGGGAGGGGAGGGAAGGGGAGGGGGGATAGTAGAGGATAGGAAAGGCAGCAGAATACAACAGACACTAGTATGGCAATATGTAAATCAATGGATGTGTAACTGATGTGATTCTGCAATCTGTATACGGGGTAAAAATGGGAGTTCATAACCCACTTGAATCAAAGTGTGAAATATGATATATCAAGAACTATGTAATGTTTTGAACAACCAACAATAAAAATTAAAAAATAAAAATAAAATATCATAAGTTGAAAATGTACTTTATACACCTAATCCATTGACATCATGGCCTAGCAACATGGTATACTTTAGAGTAATTGATTGTTTACTCTTGTGATTGCATGGATGCCTGGCAGCTGTAGCTCACTGCTTCTGCCCAGCATCACAAAGGAGTGCTATACCACATATTGTTAGCCTAGGAAAAAAAATCAAACTCGAAATACAGTTTCTACAGAGTATCACTTTGCACCATAATAAAGTTGAGAAACCCTAAAATGAACCACAGTAATCCAGGAACTATGTGTATTTCCCAATGTGTAGACTTTGTCCTCATCATAGAAAGCAATGTGTCAAACTCTTGTTGCTGGACACACAAACTCTTGTTAGCCTGTGGTGACTGTATCAGTCTTCCCCCAACAAACCCCCCAAAGTATCACTAGCAATGAGCAAAAACTCACAGCTTCTTGAAGCATGAGAAAGACAGTGCACGCTAGGACAATGAAGACCCAAATCAGAACTGGGGTCAGAGATAACCCAGGCCAATGAATAGTAATCAGAGAAGTAAGGCAGACAGGCCAGATTTTTTTAGAAGGTGCAATAACCGATGAAGGCTTCAGAGCCTGATCCCTCCATTGCTTTCTCTCTACTATCCACTGTGGCACTGTGTACAGATAACTTCACAGTGTCTTGTTCTGACTCCACATATGCTATTACTGTCCTGGTGAGATTTTATTCCCACAGCAAAACCCTGTATTACCTCTGAATAGGGCCAGTGAACTCTGCAGGATTCATTTTGAAAAAACATAAACTGCAAGTTGCCATATTCACCCAAAGTTCTCCTGCTCAGGGGAAACAGGTGCTCTGAAAGACTTAACCATGTGCAACTATAACTCATAATTAAGACTGTACTTTTTCTTGCATTCCTATGCTACCAAGACATGAATTATAATGCTTTTTCATTTTGAATTTTTAAATTTAAAAAAAATGCCTATGTTGATATTGTGGGGTTAAAAGGAATATGAGCTGCAGGAAAAATTGAGAATGACCATGCTAAAAAATTGAGAATGACCACTCCTTTTCCTTTTAGTGGAGGAGGTAAAGGCCCATGGAGAGAAAGTGGGGTCTAAACAGGGTCATGTGACTACATGAGTGAAGAGGTTTTAGGAGAAGACAGGTTTTCAAACTCCATGTCTTTGACTTTTTCCCTCACACCACAACAGTCAGATCCTTCCAACAGAACATCTAATCCTGGTACCCAACTGAGCCATCAGCAATAACCAAAAATAGTCTCCACAAAACAGCTAAGGAATGCTTAGGAACACAGCAAACTTCTCCACAGTAGCAGAGCCTGGTCCTTCCTCTACCCTTAGAGAACTAAGACTCTAGAGGAGCTGACTCAGCAACTAGCTCTCAAAAAAGACTAACCTTTCTCCTTCATGAAGAGCTGATTACTTCTTTACAGCTATCCCATCAGGACATTTTGACTTCATTTTTCAATTATCTAGTCTTGGTAAATTATGAAAATAACACATGATAATAGTTTTTGTAAATCCTGCAAATTTAGCATAGAAGTCATAAAGATGAAAGGTAAATGGTGTCCCCCAGTCTTAACAGCAGCAGTAACCATTACAAATGGCTGGTGTCCACATTCTTTCTCTCTCTCCAAACTCTCCTACTTTAGATTCCTGTAACCCATAACAGGAACTGAATAGATACAGATTAACTCTGGTGAATCCCTTACTATCTGAACTCTTCTTTCTCCTTTTGTGAAACTTGGGAACTTAAAAGATGCAGACAATTCATTATCTCAAAGTCTTACAAACCCTACTCCTAACACACATACTCAGAAACTGAATTAGGTTTGATAGTTAAGGACACTAAAATAGTGTTTGTATACACATCCACACACACAAACACACACACACACACACACACACGTTTAAATAATGGTTCTATGCTAATATATACTGATTTACATATGCAGTTTTTATATTGGTATAACGTAAAATTTTTTAAAAATTTAATCATTCTACCTATACTGCTTTAACTTTTGCTTTTTTTTTTTAATCTTGAATAAACCCTGAACATCTTTCCATATCAGTAAATGGAAATTCATCTTACTTTTTTTTAATGGTCACATGGAATCCTCTGAAAGAAACACACTGGATACTTAGGTTTGTTTTTAGATTCGAGTAATTACAAACAGGGCTGTGCTATCTTTATGTTGATAGATATCACCATTCAACTGCTCAAAAGCTCATAGCAATTTGTAGTATCCCAATAGGACCTATTTCTTTCAACCTCTGTTCATAGCACTCACTTTTTTTGTTTTGTTTTCCACAAAGTTTGACATTTATTGTTTGGCCACTTAGTGTCAGTGTTTTTAATTTGGCTTTCTGGTTTTTTAATAAATTTATATATTTATTTATTTTAATTAGGTATATATGACAGAAGAATGCATTTTTATTCATTGTACACAACTGCAGCACAACTTTTCATTTCTCTGGTCATAGCACTCACTTTTAAAGGACAAATAAAAGATCTTCCCTGAATGAGTTAACTCTCTCAATTTCACCACAACCATGCTTTCCCACACACCTTAACAAATAAGTAAGGGCTCTCTCTTCTCAGATCCTGGAAAGGGAAGGAAGTGTTTCAAAAAAAAATGGGGTGCTGGTTTCAATCTCCAGCACTGCAAAACAGAACAGCAACAACAAAGCTATGCCCTTTCAACCTGGTCATAAGAGCAGATGAGAGGAATGTGCTTCTTCCAACACTATTTTAATGAGATCTTACCTTTATTTTCATCTGTCTTCACAACTTGTACAAAATCTCTTCTAATGAAATATTTGAAAGCAGGAGCCCGTTTCTCCAGGTTTTCATCAAAGATCCAGAGGTTGACCCGAGCCCGTGTGATGGCCGTATACAGCTGCTTAAGCTCACCATTAAGGAGCTGGTGATAAAATTGAGGACAAAGATTATGAGCCTTCTGTCTACAGTTACAATGGAATACATTTCAATAGGCTCACTCTGATCTTGGAAAAACAGAAAACTAAATTTTAGAGAAGCCCAGCACAGCTGTGAACAGGAGCCCAGGAGTTCAGTGACTACAGCACAGGTAAGCCAGGCTCTAGCAAAGTTATGAGAAACTCCATCCCTTCCCACAGAGAAAGTAAGTGAGCATGCCATCAACACAAGATGACTTTTGAATCTGATATAGGTTTTTCAAGTTTTAATTCTGAAGCAATTATATATACATCAGAAGTTACAAAGATAGTAAAAAGTTACAAAGACAGTGCACCCTTCATTCAGTTTACCACAATGGTTACGTGTTACATAATTGCTGTGACTTGTTTTTAAAAATTAAACCATTGTAGCTATCATTAGTACTACACATATCATTAGTATTACCACATCAAAATTTCTGAATAGAGCTGAGTTTCAGAGGTGAACAAAAAAAACTACTCTCCCTTCTCTGCTTTTAGAAAGTACCTTATCTATTGAGTCTAGCTCTGTGCTGAGAAAAAGGGAGTTTACCAACACTGACACCCCTGTCCCTTCCTTTCCCATTCTCTACATCCCATTGCTGATGTAAAGGAGGACCAGTAACGTGCAAGCCTATATTTTTCATCTCATCTTCTCTTATAGGCTTTGTTTACTAATTCCATGTCAAATTAGTGTGTAGACAAAGGCAGAATTCACCTTGTACATTTCTGGATTCACCATGAGGGGCCGAGTCTGAGAAGAGCTTGGTTTCTCCAGGGGTACCTCAACCAATGGCCAGTTTTCCTCTCTGGAGTCAGATGATGAAGGTGTAAATGAGGAAATGATCTTCCATTCCTTGTAAGCCTGGACAACAATGACAAATTAAAGACCAACAAAATATGCTTTTGAACTGCCTCCCCAAGCTTCATGGAGATTAGCTCACTCAGTGAAGTTGGGATCAAGACTCCAATCCTAGCTATAAGGAAGCATCCATCCTGTGGCCTCAGAATAGAAGGGAGCAGGACTAAGGTTGACAAGCAGGGTCCCATACACACTTGGCCAACATAGCTCAAAAGTGCCCACCTTGGGGAAAAACACTAAGGGCCCAGGAAATTATTCTAATGAAAGAACTTCAACAAATACTATAGGCAGGGAAATTCTAATCCTTTCTTACAACATTGTTAAGAAATGCCACTTAGGGTCAGCAATTAAGACATGTGGCAAATTTTTCTACCTAAATTATTCTACCAAGGATGCAAGAAAAATCAGGTGCTGTGGGTTGCACTGTAAAAGGCAGACTCTGAGATCAGACAGGAAAAATGCAGGTCTTCTACTTATTAACTATGTGAACTTGCACACATTCTGTAAAATGGCAAAAACAGAACCACTCAAGTTTGTAGGGAAAATAAGATAATCAATGTCAAGTGTCTAGTAGAGTGCTTGACATTTTAACATTTTTTTCCCCTTTACCCAAACCCCAAAACCACTGTGTAGACCAGGGGTTAGCAAATTTCTCTTCTCTAAAGGGTCTGATAATAAATAACTTTGGCTTTTCAAGTCACATGGCCTCTCTTGAAACTACTCAGCTCTGCCACTGTGGTGCTGAAGCAGCAAGTCAACATGTAAGTGAATGAGTGTGCTATGTTCCAATAAAGCTACGCTAAATTGAATTTCATATAATTTCCATGTACCATGGAATATTATTCTCCTTTTGAGTTTTTTCCAACAACTTGAAAATTTAGAATCAATTCTTAGTCCACAGAATGTACAAAATAGGCAGTGGGCTGGATTTGGCCAGCAGACTATAGTGTTCAGATCCCAACAAAGCTGAAGTACCTAGATTATATGCAGTATTCGGAGTACAAAATTCCTAATTTACTGTACCTTGTAAGAGTAGCTAGTTAACTCTCATAGCTTTTACTTTTCTTTTTATAAAATGGTATTCTTTGCCATCTACTTAACATCTATGTAATCTAAAATGCAGAAAAGATGAAGTCGATAGCTAATTACCTGCTTTAAGCCACCCCATAAGTTAAAATATGCAGTTAAATTATGTTAAATGCCTTAAATACTGTTCATTAAAGAGGAATGGTTATGCTATTAATCAATTACGGAATTAATCACTATATTCTAAAAAGAGATGTTTATCAGGAAATCATTTAAGTAGCTGAAAGGTTTAGAAAAAAACCTTCAAGACTATTTATTACTATCCTTTTTGTGAAGCTATTTAGCTGGCAGAATTGTTTGCCAAGGAAGTAGACACAGACACAAGTGCTTGACACTTGAGAGGACACTCCTGGCAGGCAATGTGAGGTGCAAACTGGCTGACCTTGAAAGGGCTGGGGAAGCATAGTATATTTTAAAACTGCAAGGAGAGAAGCAAAAGCTGGTTAGATGGCACATGACTGACCTGTTTCCATGAATCAAAGTTGGAGACTTTTAGGAATATGTGAACATGTGTTTTTGTAGCAAGAATGTTGGCCTACAGCAATGTGGCAAAAAAAAAAAAAACAACATGTAAAAGTCTTCCAGGTTCTTCCTGTGGGACCAACGCTTAGATTCTACTAGCAAACCTACCTTTGAGGGGCTTATTCTTGAAGTCCAAAGTCCATTAGCCAAACCAGTTAGCTAACCCATAAAATCTGTGGGTTTTCAAAGTTCCTTATGTCCCATTCACACATGAGCTTAAAAGAAGGATACCCCACTGGAGCAGAGTGTAAATTGTAATTATACTTCCAAATCCCCAGAAGGATAGTTTGGGGGTAACTGAGAAAATAAATGCCCCTCCCCAAAGACAAAGCAGCATCCCACAAGAGAAAGATTTGGTATAACATTCCTTAGTTCCTTCCCCATCTCATAAGGTGGCCCTGGCAACCACGTGGTTTAACAGCAAAAGAAATCCTCTAGAAAGAAGAATCACAAACAGGGACAGCAAGGCCTTCCCCTCCCCACCCTTGTCCATACACCTCACAAGCCCTAGCAACAGATGCTGCAAAGAGAATGCTTGCCTGAAATATCAACAGGGGTGGAGAAAGAGGCCAAGGTAAAAGAGAAAAGCTCCTCACAGTTGCCCATGTCAAAGAGCAATAATAACAACTATCAGCAACTATCAGCCAGTTACCTCGAAAGAAACCCTAGGACCCAGCCCATAAAGGCTGGAGATATATTTGATCTGTCTTCCCTTTCCTTTTATTAAAGAATTTCTTCTCATTTGCTGACAGATGCTTTATGGCTAGAGACTATAAGTGATAAAGGTGAACTTTGTGTTCGGGAATGCACGATTACATTTATGTTGGGAAGTACCACATCAAAAGTTGTTTTAGAAGTCTACCATGTACATAGGATAAAGCCAATGTAACCAAAAGATTCAGATTGGGGGTGTGTGCCCCCCTTTTCTCCTCTTCCTTCTTTTTTTTTTTTAATTTCATGCAACTCCCTGAACCATTAGTGGGAGCACAGAGTTCAGCCTTATTTATTTCCAGGTTCAAGTTAAGACCAAACAACTAGATTACTCATTCACCAACAGAACCCACCATAACTTACAGATCTTTAAATCCAGATGCTTGAGTTTCATACTGGCACATGCATACAACTGGCACTTTAATAAAAAGAACAGAAATAACAAAGTCTTCTTCCTTCCTCTTTTAAGAAAGCCTCAGTCCAGCCATGACCAATATATGTATTATTAGAATAAAAAAGGTAATCCTCAGATGCAAAAATCGTTCCAGGGTTAGTAAGTGTGCATCTGATTTTATTGGCAAAATTTGATAGAGAAGGGATGTACATAAGGAGTTTCAAGTATATGCTCATTGTGGAAAGTTCTGACAACCAATTCACATGTGAAGCTTTAAAATAAAGGGAGTACAAGGGAAAGAGTCATAACTCAAAGCATATGAGTTTGTCTTCAGGCCCTACTGCCTATATTATGATTATGGTTAATTTACTTAACCTCAGTGACCTTCAGTTTTCCTTATAAAATGATAATAAACATAGCTTTAAAGGGTTGGTGGAGTCAGACAATGCATTTAAAAAATACTTTATAAACTGTAAAACGCCTATAATAATATTGGCCATAGGTATTAAGGCAAACATGACATTAAAAGAGATCAGGAAAAAATGTAAGGATTCTATTTCTAGGTTCAGCTCTGGGGCAGATTTAAGGTGTCAAAGCGGACAGTGCTCCTGACTCAGGTATAAAACTGCCCCTTCAAGCATGCACAATATGTAGTGAGAACTCTGCAAATGGGACCAGGACACAGCCAGCTAAGTCTCCAAAAAAGACTCCACAGCACAGTCAGCAATCAGCCTGAGTCCCCACCCAAAGATGGTAAAATCAAACCAGTGGCTAGGAAAGCTGTAATGATGCTCTTTATTTGGTGGTTCTCCCCCAAATGAACTAAGCTGAAGGGCAAAACCATCATAAGGACTCAAGAGCCAACTCAAAATGATGGGCTGACACAGAGGTCACTGGGGGTCAACCTGGGGACTCTCTGGCTGCCCTGGTCTGCCTGGGCTGCAAGCAGTGATAGTGAAGCCATGCCACAGAGAGATCCCAGGCAGGGCAGTGGTTTTTGTTCCCCATATTACCTGATCCAGCAGGAAGGAGCCAAGCCTCATTTGTCTTCCTGAAGTTGTCTATGAACTGACCTTGCCCAGTTCTGTCCTCATAGGATGGACATTGCTAACCTTGCCTTCATTTGTAAGGCTCTCCTTAGAGCTTGCTCCAACTTAGGAATCCCTGGGAGCCAAGGATAACAGTAGCTAATGAAAACTGGAAACTGGCACTTGAATCCTAGGCATTCAGAAGATGAAGACAAGACAAAGCATGTTATGGGCTGGTTTTCTCGGTACCCTTCCTGGGAACAAAGAGAACCAGCCCATGACATCCCATGAAACAACCCATAGCCATTGTCAAAACCCAACCTCCACACTAAATAAATTGTACGTTAAAACACAAAAAGACACCTGTGTGACAAACTTATCCTCAGCTCCAAATTCTCTTCCCCAGAATGGGAACTTCAGTTCAGGTTATATGAAAAGACATCAGTGTGACATACCTCAGAATCAGTGAAAAAGTTGTAAAGGAGAACATCATCAAATTCTAAGCCTTTTGCTTCATAAACTGTTAGCACAAGTGCTAACCCCAGCTCTTCCGGAATTTTCTCCTTTGCCATTTCATTGGCAACAAGAATTACCTGAAGTAAAACAAAACAACATCAAATTCTACAAAGAAAACCATGATAAAGGTCCATCTATTTCAGTGGGAGGCAATTAAATAATGTCTTTAAAGAGAAACAGCCAGCATGGATTTGGTCAGTCAGGACAAGGGAAATATTAAAACAATTAGTCATACTCACATATCTCTGGAGCTCATCCACTCTGGGATATGGACTACTGAATTCTACCTTATGGAATAATTCAGCCTCTCAAACTTTTTTCAATTGCAAACTTCCTTTTATTATAAAACATACAATCCCAAGGAGCTCACCTGGTGGGCACCAAATTCAATGGGTTGGGTTTTCCTTTTGTTCCCTCTTAGCAAAATTGCCAAGTCGCTTACACTACAAGACTCTAGAACAGTTGGTTTGGGACCATCGAAGAGGCCAGAATCTCTAGGAAGGCGATCAAAAGATTCTGGAAAGTAGAACTGAAGTAAATCCACTACTCCTGATGCCAGATTGAGGATCCCTGAGATAAAACAGAAGACACATGTCAGATACTGTGCAACACAGTTGAGTTTTTTATTTTGGGGGTTTATTTGTTCGTTTTTTTGGGTTTATTTGCTTTATTGTTGTTGTTGCTTTGTTTTCTCCACACCCTGCCCCCAGGGCATGTGCCAACTGTATGTATAACTGTATAATTACAAGCTTATTTCTAGTACTCATTTGATTATCAATGAGGCTCCATACTATTCTGAGTGCAATGGATGAAGGCAGAGATGCATTGCTGTGCTGAGAGAGTTTTGTGGGACATTATCCCCAACGTATAGTCCCATTAGAGAAAATTACCTCCTAAAGAAGAGTCAAGGCAGAAAGGCAATCTAAATAATTAGAGCTGTTTGAATGCCCATAAAAGAAACCAATATAGACTATCATAAGAAAACAAGAATTACCCTATCTTCCTTCATTGGTGCTCAGAGTACTGGAAGCAAAGTTACCATGGTAACAGCAGCTCTGGATGTTAGCTGGAGACAACACCCAAGGCTTCTATCACCTTTTCCTCCAGGTTTATAGCCAGCTGAGAGAGGACTACGCTAAGAAAACTTGTCAGAACAGGGGAAAATATTTTCCAAAGCACTTTCCCCACAGGTCCCATTTATTTTCTAATTTAAGTGAAACTGACATTGACTAAACATCTAACATACAATAGTCATCTTCATAGAAATCATTCCGTTTAATCCTTACAACAACCCAGTGAGACAAATGAGACAATCTCACTTTTACAAAGGGGACTGAGAAGTTAATAAACACCTTCAAGTGATGAGACTGAAACTGGATTGAATGTACATTTTCATAGATCTCTCCATTTCTCTTAGGGGTCATGTGTTCTTTGCTTAACATACATAGATTATAATAGTCTAAATAGAACACCATGAAATGGACATATATATCCCCATTACTGTTACCAAATAGTAAAGGAGACTGTTACCATCTGTTCTGTACTTTTAATAAAGTACAGAAAGCAATCATGAGCATCAGTGGAAACTGTTGCATCTAAGCAAATCAATTGTGTTTTCCTCTTCATTAAGAACCAGAAAATGCAAGAGCACAAGTGTTCATCGTGCTAAAAAACTGGAATCCACTTAAATAACATTCAGGAAACTAGATAAGTAATGGTTGATATAGCCATACTCAAGGAATAAAAGTTCAACCATATAAAGGAATGAAATATGGATACACACTATAAAGTGGGTAAACTTTGAAAACATTGTGCTAAGTGAAAGAAACCAGACAGGAATCACCCCATACTGTATCATTCTATTTAAATAAAATGTCTACGGTTGGCAAATCCACAGAAAAGGAAAGGTGAGCTGCTGCCATGGAATAGGACAAAGAGTGCAATGAGAAGAAATTCCTATGGCTATGGGGTTTTCTTTCTGGGGTGATAAAAATGTCCTGGAATTACATAGTGGTGATGGTTACATATCTTTGTAAATTTATTTTAAAAAATCATTAAATTGAACATTTCATATGGATGAGTTTTGTGCTATGTGAATTTCAACCTGAAAAATAATTTAAAAAATGGGAAAATATTCACTAAACATAGCATATATATTCACTACATATTCAATAAATGTGTACGATAGATGTATATAATGTATATGTCAAGATTAGAAAAAATAAAATGTTTCACATAATGGGAGAAAAAATTGCAATATATAAAATCAACAAAAGATGTGAAGGCAAATTCATAAAGAATTCTTAAAAAGCAATAAGAAAAAAACAACTTATTTTAAAAGTAGGCAAAGATTATGTCACAGTAAAAAACTGACATGAATCTAATATCCATCCCTGGAAAATGGAGAACAAATTGTGGAACAGTCCTAAAATACATTACTAATAGAAGAAGTCAGAAATGCATAAACTGTAGTTGTGGCTCAGTGGTAGAGGGCTTGCCTAGTATGTGTGAGGCACTGGGTTTGATCCTCAGCCCACATAAAAATAAATAAATAAAATAAAGGGTATTGTGTCCATCTACAACTAAAAAAATATTTTAAAAAATAAGAAATGCATAAACTCAAGTGCCATGTAATTGACATGCAGAAATCTCAAAAACACATTGTATGGCAAAAATATAGCTGAAGAAAGGCATACCAGGAATGATCTTATTGAATAAGGTTTAAAAATATATAAAATAACACCATATATTGTTCATGAATAGTTTAGAATGGAAAGAATATTTTTAAACACTTATAAACCATAAAGGAAATTTTCTGATATGGGTGTCATATTATTTAAACATTCTGTGCCTCAGTTTCCTACTATACAATGGGAACAATATCTACCTCACATGGCTGTTGTGAGGATTAAGCATAGGTACTAGATGTAAGCTGTTTAGCATCACACCTGGCACAGATAAGGGGCATAACTGAAATAAAATAAAAAGCACCCCAGTTTTTTTGCTCCTCCTTGGGAGAAAAGCTGTTTTAAAGGTTAATGACTTGTAACTAGCATATTACTTCACCCAGATTAAACAGGTTCTTCCAAGGTATTTTAACAAAAGTTCTCAAAGCAGCTTAAGCATTCCCTTGAAATGTTTCCATGCCATGGCAAGTTCCTTAGGAAGAATTACTTGAAGTCCATTTTCACCCAACCACATCTTTAATTATAGATTTTTGACTGAGTGGTGGCAGAAATCATAAGATTTCTTGTTCCTGAGTGTAATTACTAACAAACTCCAAAATGTGACTCTTGCTTTAGCTGCAAAAGCATGTTAGGAGCTGTCCTAAAGCTCCCTTGCACCAGGTCAATGCCCACACACCTACCCAGCAGGTGAGCCATGCTAGACGTACCAGAGTGGGACCTGTAATTCTGGTACAGGTGGTGGATCTTCTTGGGCTTGCGGACAGCACACTGCTTATCCACAGTGTTTCTGCTGGCATAGTGGAACAGAGAGCGCAGATCACTGAAGCGGAAGGCCACACCCTTCATGATGCTCTGGGCTGTGTCTCCGGTGAGGAACATGGCATTGGGGTCATTGATACATTTCATCAGCAGTGCCAGCTCAGCTTGGGTGAAGTCCTGAATCTCATCACCATAGAGCTCATGGATAGACCAGGGGAGTACCCTGAGCTTCGACAGCCTTCGGGACAGGTTGTACAGAACATCCTCCTCATCAAAATAACCTTTCTGGGACCTGATCTGCTGATATAGACAGAAGAGGCTATATATCTCACTCCGGTCTTCCTTAAAATTGGGGGACCGTTTTCTCCCTAATTTCTTATATGCTTCTTCAGTTAGTCTCCCGTAGGGACAACTGAGGGCTTCAAAAGAACCCTTCAGAAAAGACTTTATTTCTTTCCAAATCAGTGCAGGGTTATAGGAGGTTTTCCCTTTGGTCATTTTGGGCCATATCTCATTGGTGAACACCTCAAACGTCACATATACACGGGGGTCACTGTCACCTGTACGCATTTCTGCAGCTTTATCCTCCTCGCTATAGTCCCCATCCACCTCAGCCTCCTCATCATCTTCTTGCCAATTAGGGATGGTCAACTCTTCCTGAGTGGACCATCCTATGATGGTTCTTTTCAAGCTTCCATCTTCATTTCTCAGAAAAAATGGTTTGGGCAAAGAAGCATCAAGCAAGAGGAGCAACTGTTTGGAAGTGACAAACAGAGGAAAGTTCTCATCTTTTAGGTCCTGAAGTTTGTGAACATTGGGTTCCAGTGGTTTATAGTGACTGGTGGCTTTGGTAGACTTGGAAAGCTCAATAAAGTTCCTTTGTACCTCCTGGCACAGGACATGGTTCTTGGTCACAAAGATCTGATGCAAATGCTCCAGCTGGTGGGGATGCTCTGATGTATACCCTTCCACCCCATGGCCATCCCCCACTGCCTCTACCCCAGCTCCCCCTGCACAGGCTTCACTCTCCTGCTCCTCCTCTACACTGTCTAGTGTTTCCACCTCAAAGGAACCCTCCTCTTCCTCATCCTCTTCTTCCTCTTTTTGCTCCCTATCTGAACCCTCTTTTCTGGGTTCTGCTTCCAACTTTCTCTTTGGCCACATCTGTTTGGCCAGCAGCGGGCTTCCTGCCTGCTCAGCTTTCTCCCAGTAAACGTGGAACTTCTTCCATAGCCTGTATAAGCAGCAGGTTGTCTTCCCAGTGCCACTCCGACCAATGAGGATGATGGGCTCCAGTGGCCTTGGGTTGAGGTCAATCACAGCATACTCAAGCTCACCCACTCGGAAAGGGTACTCCACTGTTGCTGTCATGTCATTGAGGATGTTGAAGGCCATGTTGGTGCTAAAGCTGTGGAACTTCATGATGTTATACTCCGTCTCCACTGCACTGGCCGGGGGAAAGTACTCCGGATCCACTTGTTCCCTGCTCTTCTCTGCCTCTGTGTCCTCCACATAGCAGCGGGGTATTCGCTTTTGGATTTTCATGTTAGCTGAAACTAGGCCTTTGTTGATACCCTTCAGCTTCTTACGCAGGACACAGGACAATCCCCGGTTGTAGGCACTGCAGATGGCCATAATGGAATCTGACAGTTTGCAGTGATCTAAGACAATGTCCCAGATCCGGATGATTTCCGTGTAGACTCGCCCTGATTTCTCCATGGAGGACGTGTTTCTTTCTGTAGCGATAATTTTCTCTGGGTTCTCACTGCATCGAGGGGAGAAGTCGATGGCGAGCTCCCACAACATTCTAGCTCCTTTGTCCAGCTTAGCTTCAAAGAGCCGGATGTTTCCTTTCAGGTGCTTTAGGCGCTTCTGCAGGCCCTGGGTCCACTCACCATTCCCTAGCTGCTGAATAGCAAGGATAATTTTCTTCTTTATGACCTTGGTAATAACCTTACTGGACAGCTTCTTCAGCATTTCTGAAGTACACTCGATCTCCCAGGTCATGTTATCAAAATCCTGGAGGCATGCTTCGATTTCCTGCATGCTCCAATTGTCCTGATCATCACTGCCCTCCCTCCCTCTGTTGCCAGCAGGAACAAGCTGTGAGGCCCCAGGACCTGCCTGAGCGTGTCCTTCCCCTGCCTCAGGGACAGCAGAATTGTTCCCACTACTGCCAGAGCTTCCCACACTCAGGGTTCGCTGGAGTTTATCTTTCTTTACTTCCATGACACCTCCTACCTCCAGAGGCTCAGGGCACTGAGGACAGTCCTCTGGAAGAGCTGTATCCAATTCAACCTGCTGAATCAAAATTGTAATGTCCTGTACAAGGCGATCTCTCAGGGAGCGTGGCCTGATAGCTTCAGACTCCTGCCTGGTCACCTGAGCACCAGGGAGAGTCTCCCAGCTATCGGGAACTGTGGCTCCTTCAGAGGGGGTTCTGGCAGTGGTGCCACATGGCAGTGACTTGAAGGAACCCTGGGACTTGAGCTGAGATGTATGACCAGCAGTGGAAGACCTTGAGAGCTTCCCCAGGTGGGCAGCAGAGTCTTGCCTGCTCCTCCGCCTGTTCTCTGTCAGAGCTTTGTTCCAGGCCAAAAGTAGAGCATCATTCTTCTTAATCCGGTGCCGTACGTCTTTGCCTTCTTTGTTCTTCAGGTTGAAGTTGATGTCAAACTTCACCAATAGGTCTATCAGCTTCTTCATGCGCTTCAGCATGCCCTTCTGAAAGAGGAGGTGCATGAGGGTATTCCCATTGCTGTCCTGGATGTTAGGGTTGAGGTAGTAATATTCAGTGGGGTTGGACCAGAATAAATCCAAGAGATGGCTGAGGAAGTTAAAGCCAATGTCAGCTGAAAGACACAAACAAAATCCTGTGAGTACTGAGCCAGTTTTCCCAGGGATCAGAAGACCTAGATTTGAGAAAGATGCCAGCCTGGGACATCTCATAACACTGACCTCCCCCAGGTGTCTGATACCCAATTAAATAACCCAGGGGTTCTCAAACAATGGTGATTTACTTTCCACAGAAAATTTGGCAATGTATGGAGGCATTACTGTCACAACCAGGAGGGTACCACTGGCAACTAGTAGGAAGAGACCAGGGATGCTGCTAAATATCCTACAATGCACAAGATAGCTCTTGACAACAAAGAAGTCCCCAACTCAAATGTCAGGAGTAAGTCCTGAAATCACCTTATAATATTCTAGTGATCCTGCATGCCAGGATTCTTGAAAAAGGTGTAAATAAATGGAAAGTATCTGTCAGCTACCAATAATCAACTTTGGAATTTAAAAATCAATGTGCCCACCTTGACCATTCATCATGATGGTCACTTCTTCTCATTGTGCTATGGGTGAGAGGTCAGGAGATATAGGCATGCTTGTCCAGGAAATGGACTTTTTTCAGACAATGATTTTCCCAAATGGAAAGATCAAAAAGCACAGCACCAGTTCTAATTTCCAGCTTCCAACCCTGTTATGATTTGGATATAAAGTGTTCCCCAAAGCTCCTGTGTTATAGGAATACTTGGAGGTGAAATGATTGGATTATAGGAGATGTGACCTAATCAACTTATCCCAGTTTCAACAGACTGGTGATAACTATAGGCAGGTGTCGGGAGGCTGGAGGAGATAGGTCACTACGGACATACCCTGGAAGGATACAACTTCTCTGCAGCCCCCTCTGCCTTTTCCCTTCTCGTTTTCTGCTTCCTTGCTGCCATAAGGGGAACAGTTTTCCTCTGCCATGTCATTCCCCCATAATGTTTTACTTCACTTTGGGCCCAAAGTAATGGAACGGTCATCTATGAACCAGAACTCTCAAACTGTGAGCCCCAAATAAACTTTTCCTCCTCTAAGCTGTTCTTGTCAGGTATTTTGGTCACAGTGATGCAAAGCTAACTAAAACACTCATCAAGGAAAAGATCACTTAAAAAACAATGCTTACCATTGATATCTAAAAAGATGTGGAGTGCTGCATGCAAAGGAGTATCCCCTTCAGTGAGAGAAATACTGCGGGGGTCTGCACCCTTGGTCAAGAGAAGAAAAGCCAACTCAAAGTCCTCATGTTTCAGGCACATGAGAAGTGGCCTTTCCTGGCTCTGCTGCAGACCATCGGGCAAGGCTGGAGAAGGCAGAAGAGAAGGGCACTTGTGAGTGACATCCTGGGAAGAGGTACATCCTGGCTCACCTGAAGAGAAAGGGACTGTTTCTGCTATTTAGATGCCAAGGAGGAGCTGCTGCTGACCTGATTACCAAGATCCTCCTACCACCCCAGTACCCTCAGGCTGAAAGCCCTGCTGCTCCAAGTGCTCTGTCTGTGGGCCTCACCCCCCTTCCAGCCCCTCCTCTCATGCCACCACAGAGCCCATAGTTCCCACTATGCATTGCCTCGGAGTGAGGACAGGGCAGAATAATGGCAATCCTAATGCTTGCATAATACCATACCTGACACACAATCAGTGAGCAGGACATGAACACCTTCCCCACATTTTTCTTCTACTAAGCTTCTACCTTTAATTGCCATCTTCCCTGACACCTATCTTCCTCCAATATCACCTTCCTTTGAGCTCAATCCACACACACCCTCTGCATTACAGGCTCTCTGAACTCCACCAAGGCAGCCTCACCCTCTGTAGATCTGCAGCAGCTATGCATTTACCTCTGGGACTTGGTTCCTAGCACCAGATCCTAGGAGAGGCTCTGAACCAAGGAATAAAAAAGGAAACCATGACAACTATAGTTTTTGAGCAAAGAAAGTAACACTGAACATAGGGGTTTGAAGAAATAAATTGTAGAAGGCTTTCCTCTACCTCCCGAAAGCAGTGGGTGGAGCAATGCCTAAAGGCTCTACATACACTGGGTATGACATTCTGAGGACTGAGGACCTAAGTGCTACTGCTCTTTATAAAGGGCAGGGCACTTCCTCTTACATGAGTGGAGGTTTGGGAAAGGAGCTGGTGTTTCTAAATTACTTTTTAAAATAAAACCCAACCTAGCAAGATGTCTGCACACTCCGGACATATGCCCAGTTATATGAGATTGTTTTTGATTAAAATGACAGATTTTCCACCCACCAATTCCTTGGCTGTTTCACACTAAAAACAAGCATCTCAAATCCCAATCCATTGATTAGAAGAGAATACCACAAGAATTGCCCAAAAGCCCTGCAGGGGAAAATCTAGCCAGAGGCCAGGGAGAAATGAGCATTGTGGGCTAAACCAGAGCCAAGGACCATCCATACACCTAATGCTTCTTATATATGACAGAAAGAGAATAGGGATAACTGAAATTCACAAAAATTCAGAATTCCTACAGAAAAATCCATTGACCCTCATAGCTGCTTCAAAAAGATGAAGATAAAAAGAGAATGAGGCAGAATTTCATGGTATCTCCAAAAGCAAGAAGAAGCCAGACCACCAGTCCAGACAACCTGGACAATATACCAGCATGTTTCATCTGGGAATTCTCACCTCCACTGTCTATCAGGCGGCCCAGGAGCTGTGTCTTCCGTTGGTCCCAGGCACTGAGGTGGGGGATGATGGTGCAGATGTCCAGGTCTGAGAGGTTGCAGTCCTTGATGAGGCAATCTCCGGGTGGTGGCTCCCCACTTACTTTGCGTGTTAACAGCAGAAGCACTTCGGACCATTTTTGTTTTTCCAGTAAGAACTTGATGAAGGTGTTGGCGCAGTCTCGATTAATGTCACAGATCAGGTCAGGAGGAATTTCTTTTAAAAATAAGAATCAACCACACTCCACAAACGGTTCATATGATTTCTCTTCCTCCCCCAACTACAACCCAATATTTATATGCAACTAACAAGGATTACAGATCAATATTTTTATTGATATATTGGCAAAACTGTAAACAAATAAATAATTAATTACTTTGAGTAAGTCACTTAAGCACTCTTGAACATTAGTGTAACCAATGATCTCACAGACTTCTGGAGGACATTAGAAATACCATAGGGGAATACAGAGCCTGGCCTCAGAGATAGAAGAATTGACAATTGCTTCTTAAGGCAGAATACTTGATTGAGTTCAGGGCAAACACTTGAGACAGGCAAAATCCTGACTTAAATTTTTAATAATATTAAGAGTATGCCCTGCTTAAGAAGCACTGAACTACAGGGAACACTAGAAGATAATTAAAAAGTCAAGAGTTGTAGGATAATAGAGGGTAGTTGATCCCTCATTCTGAATTTTGTATCATGCTACATTAAGTGTTGCCATCTGGTCTTTGATGTCCAGTGACAGGATAATGGTTATCCCATGCCAAACTTTTGATGAATTTTGAGGGAGAAAAACTTTAAAACAGATCCTCAGTAAGTAGATTGCCAGATTTCACAAATAAAAATATAGGATGTCAATTAAAATTGAATTGCAGATGAACAAGTAAATTTTTAGTGTATTTCATGAAATATTTGGAATATACACTAAAATAATTGTTTATCTGAGATTCAAATTCTACTGGGCATTCTGTATTTGGTCTGACAATCCTACCAGTAAGAAAGTAGGGAGAAAGAGCAGATGGGAAGAAATTAAAAATTACCTAAACATGAGCAATGTGATTTGCATTTGCTAGTTTTTGCTTCCCATTTTTTTCTAAAATGAATATTCATTTTAATATTTTAAATATTCATTTAAAATAAGAACAAATTAAATATAGGCAAGTCTATCATCTTATTTTAACAAGGATTAGAATAAAAGTATAAAAGGCAAACTTTTAAAATAAACATTCACAATTTCTGTTTCGCAGAATCTATTCACTGGTCTTCTGGTAACCACACTCCCACCCTCCAGTATTCTACTGAGATATGAAAGGGATAGGGCAGCCTGTGATTTGGGCCTGAGCCAATCAAGACTCTCCATCCTCCTGATCAATTATTGGTTCTGAGGTACACACTGTGATCAAAAGTGAAGCCTAGGACTTTTCTTCCAACTGCCATGAAAGAGAATTGGGTCCACAAGTCCAGAAATGCTGGATGAGTCACAGGTTAAGAGATCTAGACTTGTTCCCACTGAGAGTCTGAGATAAAAGCTGACCAGAGGACAGCTGAGTTGAAGATGGGAGGGAATGGGTGCTAGTGGCATTTCTAGCATGAAAGTAAAAATTTTTAAAAAGTTACTTTTTTGACAACTTAAACCAATTTGACTCTGTAAATTCCAATAGAAACAATTATCAACATCCCACCCTATGAGCAGTTAAGGACACAAATAGGAGAAAAGAAAAAGTAAAAAGAGATAAAGAATCAAAAGAGTTAAGTAAATTAAAGACTGAACTCTGGAAGAGAGCTGTGAGAAGACCAATAGGAAAGACATAAATAGTATGGAACACAGAGAAAAAGGGAAAGACCCTAGCCAGAGACAGAGGATCCCACACTAACCCACAGGATCCCCCAAAGAGAAACAAAGGAAGCCCAGGAACATAGACCTTAAGAAACAAAGGATATTCCAAAAGTAACATTCCCATCTGTGATAAATTTTTGACCAAGATCAAGTTTTATTTTTATAACCCTAAGTAAGTATAAAAGAAATGACTTCATGTGTCAGATGACATTAAGTCCAAAACCAAGAGGATTCCCTAGATGTAATTTGTACAGAATGTCCACTTCTAATATATCTCATATAAGGAGGGCCCATCCTAGGGTTTTGTGTGTGTCATTTGTCTCTGACCCATTTCTTTCATATACAACGAGCCCAATATTACAATCCAACTTATTCAACTCACCCTAAAAGCTAATGGGCATTAACATTTTATGTAGAGGACTTTGGATCAAGTGATCTATACATTATCTCATGAGATTAGCTCCCCAGCTGAGTCCAGGATGACAAAACTGAAGTTTAAAGAAGTGGGTAATTGAACTAAAAGTCATAGATGGAGTAAGTGGTAGAGCTAAGACTCAAACACAAAACCTCAAGCCTTAAATACTAGGGTCTGCTATATATCCTGAAAAGCATTTCTGGCTCTTCTGGTCATGTCTTCCCATACACTGCGTAAAACTGAGATATCTCAGCCTTATGAAATGTCAATTTTTAAAATGCTAAGTTTCAGCAACTTAGAATTTCTAAAACATGTCATAATTATCTAAAGTTTATCATCTAAAGTTCTTTGGGGGAAGTTTCCTGGTGTCAGCATAAACACAAAATCAACATTCAATTCTAAAATAACCTATACTCCAACATTTAGCCATTATCTGTAGAACAAACAACTATAGTATGTAAAAAAGTGACTGCATATGCAAAGAATCACTAAGATGGTTTACATGAAAAACTAGTACCAATGGTTGCCTCTGGGGATGGAATTTAGAAACTAATATCTATCATGCAGCCTGGATAGACTTTTCACTGAAGAACTTTGTGTTATTTGAAGGTTCTAGATGTAGATGCATTACCTTTATTTTCAGAGAATAATTTTTAAAAGATACCAGAATGGAATTTGGTTTTGGATTTTGTGGCACTGGAAACTGAACCCAGGCTAAGAATACTTTCTACCATTGAGCTACATCCCCAGTCCATGGAAAAGCAAGTTAATGGGAAAAGATCATCTTTAACACAACTCAATGTTGTGAAGAAAAATACCTTGCAAAGAAGAAAGGAGGCGCAAAAACCTCTGAACTACTTCCTGCTTCAGAAAGTTTTTATGCAATAACCGGTTTCCTGAATTCATGTACTGCACCAGTTGCTCAGAGGTCTTCCGGAAAATGTCGCTGTCACTAGTGGGTCCATCACCATTGCTGAGTCCTGCAAAACACCACCACGTGATGCTTCTGAATGCAGAGATCGCGGCTGTGGTAGACTGCAAAAATAACCACAGTTCTCTTCCCCTCTATTTTTTCACATCTTTTGCAGCTCCTTCCATCAAGAAATTTGGATTATTCTCCATTCCAGTCTCTTGATTCTGGCCTGGCTTATAGAGTTGCTATGACCAGTATATTTCAGTAGATGTGATTTTTGTGCCAGTTTTGAGCCTGGGTATCAAGAAATTTTGTATACCTCTATTGGCTCTTGGACCTGGCCTCTGCCATAAGAACAAGTCCAGGCTAGCCTGCTGGGGAATAAGAGACAGCATAGAACAAATTGAAATCTGTTGTCCAAACTGAGGCCTCATAGATGTGAAAGAATCCAGCCAAGATCAGCAAAGACTGCAGACAGACACTTGAAGGAGTTCAATTAAGACAGTACGAACGGCCCAAATTAAACTGCTGACATACAGAATCTAGAGCTAAACAAATGCTTTTTTTTTTTTTAGTCAATAAATTTGGGGTAGTCTGTTTAGATAACTAATAAAATAATTCAGGAAAGTAAACAGTAGAAAGGTGGCTTGGTGCAATGTCATCATCTAACCATATGCCAGCCATTCAAATTTGTATGTCTTACTGACAACCTGGAAAGGCCAATTTAAGTAAGGAGTCATCTTGCTGGCCAAGAAAGATAATATCTCCTTGATTCAACTTATTCAAGGAAACAGTCACAATGACAAAACACCTATTGATGATATGTTAAAATCAAATTATATCCTCAAAAAGCATTTTTACTGAACAGATAGGAGAGCACAGGTGGACATCTGTTTTCTCACCAAAGAAAAAGTACCTGACTCACAGCAGAAGTGCTATCATGGTTGTAAAGACATAAATTAATGTCCAGTGTCATGTTCTATCAAAGTATAGACACATTAAAAGAGATGGACTACTTGAAAATGGGTGCAAATAATGAAAACATTGTTATTTTCAAACAGATTGCCCAGCAGCAGATCCAGAGTCAAAGAATTGTGTGCAAGTAGTTTATTAAGGAAGAAGACCAGCAAAGGAGTAAGTAGGAAAGCCAAAGAAAAGTGGAAGAGGAATCCAACTGAGAAGGTAAACTCAAGCAAAGTCCCACAGAGGGTGTCCTTGCCTCATCCCATAGAGGAGTTCTGGAGTATGAATCAGACCTCAGAGTTGTCTCCACATAAGACAAGGGAAATGGGTTTTCATATTTTCACATCTATCAGTCACTGCCTACGGGCTGCAATGGGAGAGTGGAAATTCCTAGGCACCTCTGGTTTGAAGGAGCATGAGCCAAACAGGCTCTATAAGCTCAAAGACATTTCTTGAAAACAAAACAAGCCTTAATTAGGAACTGGCTTTTCAAAGTGAAGAAACTCAAAGATTAGGAAGTACACAGAAATGGTAAAAAGGATCCAATGGGGCAGGCAGGAAATGACAACCTTATTGATGCACACCTGGATTACCATTTCAACAAATCAAATCAGAACACCAGAAATATCCATGCACCAACTTCTGGGGCAAACATTCACTGCCATCTGTTGAGAGCCACAGCCGAAGGGGCCCCAGCAAACTTCCAGCTGCCAGCAAACTTCCAGCTGCCGGCTGATGATTGGCTCACAGCGGCCCCAGCAACATCTAGCTGATTGGCTCCTCTGCGGTGATGCTCATTGGGCTGTTTCCCTGCCCTTTCAGACCACGGAGCTGCTCATTGGGGGACTTTTTTGGCTCCGCCCACGTGACCCAGCCAATCGGCCTCAAGAGCAGGAGGATTGTGGGAGGTGGGGAGAAGCTTGTGTGGGAGAGAGAGGCTTGTGGAAAGCCGGTGGTGGCAGTTGAGGCTCTGAGGGTTTTTCCTGAGAGGCTGTTTTGTTTGGCGTGTGTGGTTCTAAAAATAAAGTTAGTTTCTTTTGACAAGTGGCTCCTGATTGTGCCCAGCCAGACTGCGGCATTTGGTGGCCCGTACGGGGAACGAACCCGCGGCCTTGGCGTTATTAAGAGAGCTTCAGACACCCGGCAGAAGTAAAATCTACAATACTCCAGAGAAGAGAAAAAGGTAACCATTTGCCAGATGAGCCCACATCACCTTAGCTAGAAGTTTATTGTGAGACAGAAAACATGTGGGTGGTGGAATGATGTCTGGCTAGCATCCCTGGACGTATCCTCCTACCTTCATCCTAAAATACCTATGAAGCCACAGAAAACAATAAAACCTTACAGTACAGAAAAAAAAAAATAGGACCTTTGGTAAAAGAAGAACTTTCTGTGCTTGCCCCCTTGTACCATGCCATTAAAAGCTTTTCAGGCAGATCATTTCTCCAGAAAAACTGGCTTAGTATAAAAGTCACATGAAAATGAACAGAAATGTGCTAAGCTGACAATAGAGATAATTAGATGCAGTATTATAAATACATTAGATGGTTTAGATAGTTAAGAAGGCAGTTCCTAATTAGAGAAACCTCCAGGTATTAGAGGAAAAAAAATCAAAGAATGTTACTGACAACACAAAAATACATATAAGGAAAGTCTAAATATGACAAATGGTGTCCCTGGGAAGTAAGATGGTGGGTGACTTGTATATTACACTAAAATTTTCTGTTTTTTTTTTTTTTTTTTCCTAAATTTCCTACAAGCTTAATAAGAGACAAAGAAACATCAGGATATGAAGCTGCTTATGCATTATAATTACAGATTTTTCTTAAAAATGACTATTAATTAAACAATAACAAGACTAAATGAAAACAAGCCAAAGTGTGATTATAATAAATTTTGTTTCCGTATAACACTATATTTTTATAATTCTCTATAATTACCATATTTAGCAAAAATATATCAGCAAATCTGAAATTAAAAATTAAAGAGATCTTCTGAAGTTACAATAGTGCTGGGAAATATTAGGAAATAGAAATAAATCATTTCATTTTTGCCCAAAATACCTTTTTTAAGGTATAAAAGACAAAACTGATAAATTGTATTACACACAATTTGATCAGGTTCAATTAATATATCCATTCCATTTTTATAAAAGAAAATAAAAATGTTATAATTATAAATGCATAGAATTAGACTAAATGACCAAATCCCAAAAATATTAATTTTCCTAGAGGTATATTTATAAAAATTAATATCTCCTTTGCTACATTTCATACATTTCCTAAAACAAATGAAAACATAGGTTTATAAAAAGGAGAAAATGCGATGGACATCTTTTAAATCAAAACCCCACATCTGCATTAACTGGAAAGAAGCACTGTCTTGGTGTTGAGCAAAATACATCTGGCTCCCCTCAGAGGTCTGAACTTGAGCTCACTTGAAAAGGCACAGTGCTAGTAAGACAAAGGTTCCAATCTGCTTGTTCTTGGTCCTAAGAGCTGAGCAGCAACAGCCACTAGGGAAAGTGGACATGGTTGCCATCTGCTGGTGGCCATAAAAGGCAAGTAAAGGCAATAACCTATAATCTTGACTATTTATAAAGGATTAAAGTTTTGTTCTTCAAAGTGGTCCCTGGCATTCCCTGGCAACTGAGACAAATGCAGAATGTCTGATCCCACCCTGAACCTGATGAATCAAAATCTGCATCTTAACATAGGCTTCCAAATATTTATACATGAACACATTGGGAAAGCTCTGGTTTAGAGAACCAGAAATCTTCCACAAGACTCTTTATTTCTTTACCTCCATGCCAAAGATAGCCCTATCCAAAGAGATCAGCACCACTGTTTTCAGCAAAATGGGGAACAGAAACTCTCAGAAAGGATCAAGAGAGAAAGCATCTTTAATCCTAGTCTGAAATTGAAATGTTCATTTATCATCTAAGTGAATAAAACTTCATGTCCTAAATGTACTGCACTCAGGACCACTGATATAAAAAAAAATCAAAATCATTGGGTGAGACTTTTTAGTCAAGAACAGGGGTACAAACACTCCAGCAGCAGCTGTTTCCAAAGACATTTCCCTCTGTCCCCTCAATGGATAAAGATGGGGAGGAATTATGGTCCATAAAAATAAAGTAAATCCATCTTCATTCCCATGCCTCTTAGGGCACTTTCCTTTCACCCTCCCACCATTTTCTTGATCACTATTCTAAATATAAAGAACTTTTGATAGTTGAAGTCTAAAATTACACTGTCTAATATAGTGGACACTAATTTACATAAAAGTTAATTAAAGAAAAATAAAATTTCAATTGTTCAGATGTACAAGACACACATTTTGTTCAAATATATAACAACAAATCCCAACATTATGTATAAATATAATGCACCAATAAAAAATGTGGAAAAATAAATAATAATAAAAAAGACATACACATTCTAATTGCTCAATGGGTATATGTAACCAATGGCTATATCAGACACAACAAATACAGAACATTTCCACTGTCTCATATAATTATATCGCATAGAACTGGTCTAGAAAGATCTCCTAGTCCCACCTTAGGTTTTGAAGTTTGTGCAACAGGCAAAATATTAGAAACAAAAAGTATACTACAACTATATACAGCCATATGGACGTATAAAGGAACACTGACATTTCAGACAATGTCTCTCCCATCCAGATATCATTACACACAGAGATATTTGAAGACTTCTACAAGGGTTCTGCTGCTAGAAGTACTTTTAGAGAATACAGGAAGGCTCTGATTTACTGGCCCTTCCTGACTACTATCATCCTCTTCTTTTTAAATTTGTATCAGTTCAGTTCTTTTCACATTAATTGTTTATAGTCTTTCAATATTCATTTAGCATGTCATGAAAGTCTTCATGGTCAATGTTTCAGAAAATTTTGAAGTACTCAAACATCCAACAAGTTTGCCAAGGAGGACAGGGGGCTTTAGGCTTACATGTATCCACTGCCATCACAGGCTACCTGATGAGTCAAATGGCAGGCCTGAATTAGTGCACATTCCTCTCATGAATGCTTTTCTGCCAAGCAAGTAAGCTGAACTGTAATGAGTATAGACAGGCTGAGATTCTCCTGAGTCTCTTCTCTGGGTTCCAAACAGAGGCTACTGATTTAACTGGTGAAGAAGATCAAAGTAAGATTAAGAATCATCTCTCAGGGCTACAGGTATAGCTTAGGGGTATAGCACCTGCTACCATGTCCAAGGTCCTGGGTTCCATCCCCAGTCCCACAAAAGGGGGAAAAAAATTTGTCTCAGACAATTAGATGTTTTTTGGATTAGCAGGTATTCAGAGATTCTATTATACAAGGAAACAATCAAAACTTAAAACTTTAATAACGAATGTCATGCTAAGAAGTATAACACTAAAGATACCCATTATTCTAAGAATTAAAATCATAATTAATAAAAGATAAATTTGCAAACAAAGCAGCCATTTTCTTCTATTAACTAGGAGTTCTCTTTTTGTTGTTATTATTTGAAACCTAGAAATTAATTAGCTAAGTAATCCCTGTGGTTATTTTAATTTCTCAAATTGGAAAAACAATTCTGAAACTGACATCATGTACACAAACTCTCAGCACTTCACAATGGTTTGTTAATTATATAACCTCAAGACAAAATCATAATTCCTTAAAACATGAGGTCATTTAAAAACTAAACATAATATGTCATCGCTTGAGAAGAACATCCATTAAAAAAAAAGAGAACTCTGCAAAAACATTTCTCTTTCTTCATTATCATGGCCTCATGGAAAGGACAGATGATATTAAAATAAATAAGTAAAAATTGAAACAAATGGGGAAATTCCAGTGAGGGTGTATTAAATGAAAAGCAGCTTCAACCTCCCCACGTAAACCTTTTCCATACTCTACATCTAATCCCTAGACGTCAGACTGCCTCCCACCTCAACGCTCTCCACCTACAGAGTAGCTTCACCCACTCATTTCAGGGAGGGAATATTTCTGGAGAAACAAATTTAACTATGTACACTATCCACTTAATAAGTATTGATCAAGGTGTTACTTCATTCACAAACATAAATAATACAAAGAACAGAAGATGATTAAGGAAAAGCAACAGCACAAAATAGAACCAAGAAACGGAATCAACTAACCCTAAAAGCAATAATTCAGGGAATAGAAGAGAACATTCTTTAAATAAATAAATACAGATAGATAGAGACAGAGATAGATATACACACATACATACACATGCACACACATATACATTCTTTATATATCTGCATGTATATACAATTAATATTCTTAAATGTAATTCAAGAAGATGTGATAAATGCAAAATAAGAATAAGCTTCTATAATAAGAAACAATAATAAGAAGAAAGAGATTCTTAGAAATTAAAACTATGATTTCCCAAATTCAAAATGTAGCAATGGACAGACTGAGTTATAAAAGGAAAAGCTAAAAGCCAAGTTAAAAATCTGGGGAGAAAATATTAGGGACAAGTTGAAAGACATTTATTATTAATTCAAGAAACTTGGCCATTTAACAGTAGTATCAATAAGAGAAAAGAAACATTGGAGAATAGTAAAATAATAAAAGATAATTTCTCTAAGGTAAGAAAGACAGATTAAAATGTACCAACAGGTGCCAAACAAGAACAATGAATAAGGACCCACATCTTGATACATCTGAAAGAAATTTGAGAACTCAAAAACAGAAAAATTCTAGAAGGAGAAAAATGAGATTAACATCAGACTTCTAATCAGTAGAAATTGGGGATAAAAGGCAATGAAACAATTTCTTCAAAGCTGTAACAAGGTTATATAATGTATTTCATAAATCTAAAGATAGCACAGATTGTTGGACATAAGAAAAAACTGCCATTAAACTTTAACATATCACTGGTTATAAAAACTCATTCTAATTACAAAAATAATAAAATGGAATAAAGTACACGTACTATCAATGAATATAATGCCTATACTCAAACAAATTATTAATCAATATGAGGAAAAAATAAAGACATTTTTAAGAACTTATTAAGTCTACCATCGATGCTGCCCTTGTAAAAACTTATTAAGTAGCTACTCTAGCAGATCAAGAAAGAAACTTATTCAGGTAACAGATAATACATAAGTGCAAGAAACTACAAGAAACATAAAAATACATACATATTTCATTAAACTGGGATGTTTTAAGAGTATCACATGCAAAGAACACAAAGTTTTCAGGACATTTAGTGATTTATTTCTGTGAGTCCAGCCATGCCACTAGTTATAGAAAGGGTAACATTTATATAATACCACCATGCACCCACTGTTCTCATTTTTTAGAATCAATCTATAGATGAAACATGGAAAATTCACAGTTAAGAAATGGAATATAAATGATACAAGTAACCTTATCAGATCAAATTCAACAAGTAGGACCGATATAGTTAAATGCTTCCTCTTATTCAGGAGAGTCTGTCAATAGAGACTAACCCAAGTCAATAAATTCAGAAATAGATATACATTTTAAATTATTGGCAGTAATTTTTTTTCTGAGGAGTAGACTTGATTTTTGTCATCTCCTACTCCGTATGATTTTTTTTTCATTTGTTACCGTGTGAATATGTGGGGGGAAAAAAATCACCAATACTGTTCAAAGGTGGGTCTGGAAAAGTTCCCAGAATGTCATAGATACCCTCTAAATAAGAGTTGTCTCATTCTATCTTTCCAAAAAAAGCATACCAGTTTTCTGAATGTTGGAAAAGAGGGGTCTCACTTAGATCTATGTGTCCCAAGAAGAGATAAACTGATTTGTATCTGATATCACAGAACCAGTTTTATCCCCAAAAAAAGTTAATTTACAGGAGCTGTACCTGATAGGTCCTTAGAACATGTAGCCAGCTTTTCCAAGTGACTGTTGATTTTCTCAATGGCTTTGAAGTTCTTATTCCTCTTCAGGACATCGACAGCAGACCGAGATTGTCGATCCAGCAGAGTGGGGTCTGCCCCAAAGCGCAGGAGCATCTGCACATCCTCTGTTTGTCCTAGGGCAGGCCAAAATGAGAAGGGGGGACTGTCATGGTTCCTTCCATAAGGAGACGTCCCCATGAGTGCTCTTCCTCCCAGTTGCCCAGGACAAAAGAATCAGGCTCCCTCTGTTCAAGGAACCTAAACTGTCAGATTAGAGCAGTCCACCCAACTCCCCAAAGCAAGGAGTCCTGTGTGGAGTGGAAAGGACAATAGCTTTTAAGAGGTTCAGAAGTGCGCTCCTCTCTACCTTTCTCCCCTCTCCTTGGCAACAAGCAAGGAGAGGGGGAATCTGGTTACTAGGCAACAGTTACAGCTGTAAGGATAAGAGCAAGCTGTGACTTCAGTTCTTTATTCCCTAGAGAGGAAACAGAATATTGTTCCAGAAAAAAGAGAAGAACAAGAACAAGAACAAGAAGAAGCCTATCTGGGGATAGAAGAAGAAAGAAGTAGCAATTGCTTTGGCATCGGGGTTTTTTGTTGTCATTGTTTCCACCCTCCCAGCCCCAAACCTCTAGCTGTAGGCTTCATTTGCTGCTCTACTCTATTTGCCAAGCATCAAGGTGTCTCTGTGATCACAATTGCAACAGTTTTCAGAATGGAACAGGTATATCTCTGGAGGTACACAAAGACTTATGTTGGCACAGAGTTAAACAAATCAAAGCCTGACCTCCAACTTCCGTACCTAATCTTTAATAAAACTTATTGCCTGCCAAGGCATCTTTATTCCAAATATCATCCTGCTTATAGTGTTCTCCTTTCTCATCTCCCTAGTCACAACTGCCTATCTTTCACTTTACAAAAACAAATTCATACTTCCTTCCCTTCAAGGATCTTACTGCAGTAGGCAAAATTATAAGGCACCAAGATTCCTGACCCATAATGTAAAAAATACTTTATCCCAGTTATGCAATCAAATATTAATCTAGGTGCTACTGTAATGAGACTCTGAAAATATAATTAAGATCCCAAATCAATTGACCTGAAGATGGGGAGATTATCCAGATCAGCTTGACCTAATCACAAAAGTCCTAAAGGTCAAAGTTCTAGAGCTCAGAAAGAGAAGAGGTCAAAGATTCAAAGTATGAGAGGGATCTGATGCATAAGAAATCCCCAGCTGGTTATGAAGATGCAGGGAACCATAAAACATTTAAATGTATGTGGCCTGTAGAAGCTAAGAGTAGTTTCTATTGTCAGCCATCAAGGAAACATAGGAAGAACTGTCTCTGTCAGTTCAACCAATAAGCTTGAAAGAGAGCCTAGAACTCCAGATGAGAACATAGCTGAGGCTAATAGCTTGATTTCATCCTTGCCAGAAAATGAGCCGAAATAGTCACATCACACCAGACTACTGACCTATAGAACTGTGAGCTAATAAATGGGTATTGTTCTAAGCCACTCTGGTTTTGGTTATGTTGTTACACAGTATAGAAAACTAGTATAATTACTATATTATACTGCCCCAAATGAAGGGACAATTAAAACTGATGCCGAAAAAGCCCTTTTAAAAGGCACTGCAATCCACCCCTATCTACCTCTAAAACTTTATTTTTATGTTTAACAATTATAAAAATGTTTACTATATTTATGCTTTGATTAGCTTTGTGGTAATAATTTTAGTCAAAATTCGATTCAGAAAACATATTTAGCCCTTAGAACCTGACAATCACAGAAATGTTTTAACATTTCAAGTTACATGAGTATTTTTGTTCCAGAAGAATAATACTGGATGATCAATAAGGTACTCCAGCGTAAAATATATTAGGGTAAATTTCTTTTAGAAGAGTAAATGGGAAAGGGATAGGGATGTGGCTCAAGTGGTAGCACGCTCACCTAGCATGCGTGAGGCACTGGGTTCGATTCTTGGCACCACATTAAAAAGAAATAAAGATATTGTGTCCACCTAAAACTAAAAAATAAATATTTTTTTTAAAAAGAAAAGTAAATGGGAAAGATCCAAAAAGAGGAATGCACAGTTGATATTTTTTGCTATTAAAGAGCTTGTCTATAATATTTTAAATAGATATTAGAGGATATAAAATTTCTGTGGCATTTATATTTTATTATATACAAGGAGTAAGATGTTCTATTTTAAAATAGCAACATATATAAAATTCTGAAAATAATTCTTTCTTACAATTATTTAGATTTCCATGCTAAAAATTCCAGATATCAACTTAAAAATACATAAATAGGCACACAGGTTTTCAAAATTATTTTAGGGGATAAAGAAGTAAAATCTGAAGGCCACTGACAAAATTTTCTTTTTAAATTTTTTTTTAGTTGTGATTAGACACAATACCTTTATTTATTTATTTATTTTTATGTGATGCTGAGAATCACACCCAGAATCTCATAAGTACTAGGCAAGCGCTCTACCACTAAGCCACAACCCCAGCCCAGTGACAAAATTTTTTGCCTGTCTAGTATTCATTCCCTTTTTTCCTGAGTGGGTGTGGGGGGGACAGTTTTCCTTTGGAAAAGTGCCTCTTGCTCATTCTCAGCCTACCTGATTTGATGAGACTAAATATCAGATAGACACAAAGACCTGTCACATTCCACCTCCAATCCAACTCCCTGGCCCAAGAGCTAATACCTCACCAGGATCTGGCTAATCAGATCATTCCTCCCTGCTGGTTCTATCCCACCCACCAGCTCAAGGGATGAAGGCCTCACCACCACCTACCTAATCAAATAATTCCATCCTACTGGTTCTATCTCATCATGCCCTTCAGGTGATATCACCTAACCAGGACTTAGCCAATTAGATCAGTCCATCCTTCCAGCCAAGTGATTGGTTCATGTAGGGCATGTGACAAAGTCAGGTCAATTAGACATACTTGTAATATTTTTACTGAACTATTGGAAGGATTTTCCTCTCTTTGGCTGAGTTTGACAAATTGGCAGAAAGTAAGTCTGAAGGTTCTGGTGCTTCAACTGAAAAGGAACTTGACTAACAGTGAACTTAGCACAGAAGAAAGCAGAGGTAAGACAGGTTCTTGAAGACACCATTGCAGCAAGCATCTGAACCAAACTCTGGACTTTTCGTTCATAAGAGTCAATAAATTCCCTTTCTTGCCTAAACTAATTTGAGTATCTTGTTCTAACCAAGCCATACGGAACAAGCTCTTACCCAAATGGAACAAGCTCTTACTTCAATTCTAGAAGATGACCGTTTCTAGGTTTGGGGTCTGCTGCTGCCCAACTCTGCTGATTCCTTGAGACTCTGCTTTCCTGGGATTCTCAAATCACTCTGCTGAAGTGCCAGCAGGGCCATCATAACAACCAGCAGCTACCAAAATACCAACAGAACTAAAGATTTTTAAGGTCCTACTGATGTCATGACTATTTCAAATAGTAGATTTGAAATTTATCTGAGATTAAAGAATGTGAAGAGTTTTTGACTCTACATTATCAAAAAATACCCAATATGAAAATAATCCCATTCACTGTTAGGGCAACATTTCTTGGGTTCAAGTTAGTAATAGCTTTCAAAATCCAAATATACCAACATTCTAATGTTTTAAACATACACAAACTTATGTACATCAAAAATATTTGCAGAAGAAAACATAAGATACTAGTAGTATTCAGGAGATGGAAGAACAGTGTTAGAATAGAGACTCTCAGCATATACCATTCGTATTTTTGATTTTCTAAGGTAATCTATTTAAAATTTATCTAAATAAATAAATAATTTCAAACAAAATTTTCAACTAGGAAATCATTTTATAGATACATTCCTATCAACTCATAAAAATATAAAAAGAATGATCTCTGAGCATTGTTTGCAACAGCAAAATAAACTAAAACACATTTAAATCTTAATTAATAGCATATGGTTGTAACAGTAAATATTATAAGGGGTTATAAACATGACATAGCTATCAAGTTACTATTAGGAAGATAGTCAAGATATATTGTTCAATGAAAAGTATTACTGAATAGAATGTATCATATGTCCACATTTATATTTGAAAAAGGAAAAATTATTTTATAAACACACTGACAAGACTTAAAAAAAAAGTTTGGTAACTGACATTGTGGAAAGGATTAACTTTTTATCACATATCCTTTTTAAGTGTTTGGGGTTTTGTTTGTTTGTTTTTACCAAGTGCTTGAACTTTCTATTTTTTCCTCTAAATATTTTAATTGAGATATAGGTTATATGCTATAAGATTCACCCTTTTAAAGTATATAATTCAACAGGCTTCAGAATATTTATGAAGTTATTCAACCATTACTACTATCAAATTCTAGAACATTTTCATCATTCCAAAAAGAAACCTCATACTTACTAGCAGTCACTCCTTATCTCCCACCAACCCTATATACCAACCCCTGGAAACCACTAATCTAGTTTCTACCTCTAGGGATTTTCTTATTCTGGACATTTCATGTAAATGTGGCCTTCTATGTCTGGTTTCTGTCACTTAGCATTAGATGCTAAGTGAAATAAAAGATTCATCCATATTTCATCCTGTGTTAGTACTTCCTTTTATGACTGAATAATATTCTACTGTATGGATATACTGCATTTTGTTTATCTATTCATCAGTTGATGAAGATTTAGGTATTTTCCACTTTGGGGCTATTTTGAATAATACTGCTATAAATAATCATTTTAGAAGTTGTTCACTTTTACATTTGTCTTAGGTATGTGCTTAGGAGCATATTTTTGGGTCTTATGGTAACTTGAGCTTTTTCAGCAACTGCCACACTGTTTTCAAAGCAGAGGAGCCATTTTTCTAACCACCAGCAAATGAACTTTCTTATTTTTCTATATCATTGTCACAACACGTGTTATTGTCTCTTTTAGCCATCCTAATGTGTATATGAGTGTACTTTAAATTTTTAAACTGGTTTTTAAAGAGGTGATTCAAAGAAGCTTGATGTATTCATCAACAGACAAAAAGATGAGTAGAATAGAAGAGAAAGTCTAGAATTAGTGGCATGTGAAATCACTGAGGTCAAAGACCATTTTTTTTTTAATAAATGGAGGTGAGACAAATAGGAA